ATTTCAGCTGGAAGCACATCACGTTCTTCCTTGTGTGCCTAGAGCCCCTTGGCACTGAGAGAGAGGGGTCTATTCAGGATGACCCTTAATGTATCCCACTAAACCATCCCCATTAACATTAGAGGCAACATAAGCACATGCATTTGTCATTACACACATCTATTAAACACTCAACTAAGACTGATTTCAGCTTTAACCTGTAGCAATTGACCTTATCTTTGTCGATAGTCTTAAATAAAAAATGATCACCTACTTTTATGATCTTAAAGAGATTGCATTTAGATTGAATATTGAAAATAGATGGCTTATTTCCATCAGCTTAATTTCCTGGGTTTTCTAAAACAATTTGCAGTGCAGACGATGGCTTGCCATCATAATTGGTGAAATAAACAAAGCAGGAATCTCTTTTGAGTTAGTCACAACTGAAAACTGAATTTAACCCTAAAGTAAAATGTCGAAAACTGCTTTTGGCAGAGGAAAAACCAAAGGGTTTTAGCTTTTTAATTATCATATGCCATATATCAATCTCTCTCTCTCTCACACACACATATATATATGCTTTTAACTGATTTAGAGAGACCAAAAAGTATGATGGCAATTTGACTTTAATCACAAGGAAGATAGCATTACAAGGGGGGATTAACATATTTAACTCCCCATCAATTATCAAAAAGGCTTTGGCAAGTTGATTAAAGCCTTTGTCGAGCTTTGTCAAGCTAAATGCTTTCCTTGTCTCCCCCTTCACTTTGAATAATTACATCTCCCCCTTTTGCTTATAGTGGAAAATGATAGTCAACTTTCATCACATATTACATCATTGACCTCCACTTAGGAGATAATTAGACCCTCCTCCCCTCCCCCTCCTTTTTCGCTGAATTGGTAATTAATTATACCCTTATGAACAAATAATATTATTTTATCTTTCACAAACTTATGTTAAAATTGCTTTGAAGGAAGCTCAGCAGTACGCAATTGCTATCGTTGCCAGGGTCTAACATATCCTTCATTCATTGTTTAAAGGCGAACTCAAGAAAGGGCAGGTTTGAAAATAAAAGAAAGTGGAGTGAAAAGGACAATGTTTGATTGATAATTTCCCCTTTCCAGTTCAGAAAAAAATGTACCAAAGGCATATCCTGATGAGTGACAATCATTCCAACATGAGCCATTTGATCAGGAGAGGTTTTTGAGAGTCATTGGCTCAAGCGAAAGGTCCTAATTAATTAAAAAATGGTCGCTACTGGTTACAGGAAAGCATCAATTTTGCAAGGGTTGCATCATGGAGACAGACACAAACCAGCAAATAGAAATTTTGCTGCATGCTTTTATAGTGTTATTAACATTATATGATTAAATACAATTTTGCTTGCATCATGTTGATATGGTCCCTACGGATAGCTATAGATTGGAAAGGTCAGAAGCATCAAAGCTTATTAAAGGATAAAAGAGCAGCATGTCAACTGGTAAACTAAATTCACTTCGGTGTTTTTGAAAATCTTGTCCTTAACAGTATGAGTTAAATTCAAGAGAAAGAAAAAGAAAAAGTTGGGTAAAAGTAATAGTTGGGTCATGCAATTATGGATGAATCATTTTTTTTTTATATATCTTTTTGTGGAAATGAAAGAAGTCTTTCTGATCACTGGTAAAAAACACAGAAAGGGTTTATATTAGTCGATCAAATTTCAATGTCCAACTGAGTTATGTAGTGATCAAGGTATCCTCCTTTAGGAGGAATATGTAGAGGCTATCACGTTTTGTAACTTCTAGGAATTATTCCCTCATTTGTGCAGGCAAAAACACTTGAAACTCTTTTTAGTTGATACTTCTTGCTTTTGTTTTCAATGAGTAAATAATATTTGAGTGAATTCAAATTAAATTTGACCCCTGACAGAAAAAATAAGAATTCACTCTGTATCTCACTAATTGGGCTGACGACGCTGGGCTAGGGAATCCTACAGAAAACGAGCAGGCGGCAGTGCCCAATCTCATCGCTGCTCCTTTGTCAGAAATCTTCACTGAGTCAGGATCATTCAGTGAATCAGCACTCAGCAGCAACACCACTCTGCTGTATGGACAAATCCAGGGACTGCCAACCCAGCAAAACAATCAAGAATTTGAAGCCTTTCACCTTACAGAAAGCTACCACGGGCACATATGAAGGAACTGGTTGACATGTCATGATGTCTTTAAACATTTTTCTTTTTAAACAGTGTGCCAAGGAATCGAAGTTACTGGTGCTTGTCTGATCACGCTCATAAGTTTCTATTGTTCCCATTCCCTAGTATATAACAATAAACTCACCTCCATCAAAGCCTGGTTTATCCATGGAGGCAGGGACTAACATCATTATTGGTTTCTCAATATTTTGCACGTTCCCTGATGTTACAAAAGTTTCAAGTTTCAACCAATAAGAAGACATATAGCCTTGCGCTCCAACAAAGTACTAGATTAAACTTGTCATCCATTTCTACTCTATTTCCACATCACAACGTTGAAGGGAAGTCGTCATCGGACGTTGATAGCACCACTACCCGCCTTCCACAACGTGCTAACCAGGCCCTGGCAACTTAACGCTGAAAAGACAAGACAGGCAAGAAAGTGAGAGACCGTATAGGTAAAGAAGGAAAAGACCAAAAAAGAGTGGGGGGAAATCCCCAAAGCCAACTGAATGATGATCAAAGTATTTGTCTAGGCATAAAAGGAACTTTCAGCGGAAGCTAAACTCGGATTACATATCCTACAAGTACTTTTTTATATATTCCTCTCGTCAATACCAATTCAGCTTTGCCTGAAATGATATATGGCCGACGTCACGCTAATGCAGTATTATTGTTTAATTTTTCTTTTAGGTGAAAGAGCAGAGACCAAACGAAAGACGAAACACAAACGATTAGATTGAAGGTCGGACTGGGCTTACACACAAATTCTGGGTTGACAGACGGACCAAGCCAACTAGAAGATTGAAAGCTAAAACTATTAGGAGGTTCACTGTAAATTAGAAAACCAATGATTTGGTTACACGGACCATTTCAGTTATCTGCTGCTCTGTTGGCTTGTTCCAAGTAATTGTGTTGCATTTGCGTATGGTGCTCAGGATCTTTAGAAATAACCACCTTTATTCATAGATTATTGCACGGTTTCTAGCAACTTGAGAAATTAAAATGTAGCAGCGTTTCCATAACCATAACATGAATATCTTGCTTTGATTTTTTCATGACTGATTCGGTCAGAGATAGGTGAAGAACATATTGAAAGCTTGTAAGTGATGAACCAGGCTATATGGGACGAGTAGATGCAAGCATGAGGAAAAGGCAGCAGCATCTTTAGCTGTCAATGTAAATCATGAAAATGGAATCAATCTGCATCTGAAAAGTGAAATTAGCATGGTAAACAATAAACAATGCGCATTAAAAACCCATAATAATCAAGAATTGAGTTATAATTGAGCTACTCTCTTTCTTTACAGGCAGGCACGCTGCCTTGGGAAATTCAGATTGGACAGATGTTACATCATGTTTTATATGATTAGAAGGCTTACCTTTCAGCCTCCGGCGGACGAAGAACCCTCATCGGCGACTCTGTCGACATAACAGGATACTCTGTTTGTCTTTGGCGAATAACAATTCTGCAATTCTTGAAACAATTCTGCAAATCTCATCATTCCACATACCTAATTGATCATTGGGAATTCAGGACGGAAATTTTGAAGTCCACGCTTACAATTTGATTTCGAGGAAGGGGGTATGTAATTATAAATCCTTTAAATTTTATCGTTTGAGAATTTCTTTAGTTCTTTAATTTACATTTCCCTCACCATACTTTCCTTCTTCTCAAGTAAGATTTAAATGAAAAAATTTCAGATGGAAATTTTTAAATTCTATTAAAAGTTATTAAATAAAAATAAAATTAATTATATGTAAAAATTAATTGAAAATTACACACATTAATTTTAATTAAAACATTATTTATTACTATATACTAAATAAAAAAATATTTTCATAATAGAAATTAAACAAAATTTTAAATTAATATTTTATATTATTTCAACTATAGTCTATCTTATTGGTTTTGATTTTTTTAATTTAATTTATTACATAATTTTAGTCAAAATATTCATAAGTAACAACAACTATAATCGTTAAATCAATATATATATATATATATATATATATATTGCGTATCAAAATTTCATTTTTGAATATTGAGTATCATAAATTATGGTAAAAAATTTTAAAATTAATTATAAATAATATTTACATATATAAAATAAAAAAATTAAAAAAATTCTATTTATTAATTGAATTGAAGATTATAAGATGATTATTTTTTAATTTAAAATCTCAATATATTTTGAATAATATATATTTTTAAATAAAATATACATTTTTATATTTATTTGTTAATTAAAAATTAAAAAACAAAAGTTGAAATCAAAAAGAGAAATTTGATTTTTTTAGTATTTTTATTTAAAATTTAAATATATTGAAATTCTTTAAAATATTTTTTATATTTCAATTAAAAATAAATAAAAAATAAATTTTGATAATATGATAAAATTAAATTTATAAAAAACGTATCATATTCCTATTGTAGGATACCTACATTTTCAATAATTAATCAAATATAATACAATTATCAGTACATATGTAGTTTTTACTAACATCGAGAGAGATATATCATAGTACAAATATGATTTAATAACCAACAAGTTTCGCATAAAATACGGGGTATAATGTCCGGCCGCTTGTAATATCGACAGAGATATATCTTAGTATAAATATGATTTTAATTAAGCCCTGGGTATAGTGTCCGCCTGCTTATAAATTAAATTAAAAAAAAAAAAAACAAAAGTCAGACTCAACTAAACCGTGGACCCCCACCCTTCTCCTTTGTTTGGTTTTGTCTGCCCTAAAAATTTCCCATTGTTTCTCTTCTCCCCACCCTATTACCAGATCCCAATCAGATCTCTGTCTTCGACAAATCCCAGTTGAGAGACAAGAAAAATGGTAATCAATGTTTACACCAAAGAAGACACGCAACGAATTCTTTCTGACAAAATTGCAAAGCTAACAGTTAATGTAGAAGAAGGAGAGTGCAACGGCGAGGCAGCTCCAGTTGCTGACAGTGAAACTTGTAGGACTCCGACTTCTAAAGAGCATCGGATTCCTGAACCCTTGACATGCCCACCAGCCCCAAGGAAACGTAAGGGTTCCTTCGCTGCCGAGAAAAATGAGCCCAAGAAGATTGTGGACGATAAAGAGATTGAGACCATATTTTCCCCTGATCAGGTTTTCTCGGAGACATCTTGCGGGCAGTGAAGGGTTGGATTCTCATTCTTTTGAGCCTTTCCTTTTAATATACTGGACTAGATAGAATTCACCAGGAGTTTAGGCGAATCTGATTGTTAGATAGGAAAATCCCAGTTAAGGGTGGTTCTGGGAAAGATGATATATAATGGGATAGCAAAGTGTACACTAGACATAGAAGGCGTTAGTTTGAACATGTTAAGTTTGTTGCCTTAGGCTCCGTATAAAATTAGGATTTTTGTGTTTTAACTTCTTTCAACATATACCCATTAATCAATGCCTAATGATGGTTACTGTGTATGCTGTGATTTGTTTACTAATATCTTGCTTCAATCTCCATTGGCGACAACAAATTTCTTTTTAATAATGCTAATAAAGTAGTTGACTAGCAAACATGGTGAATAATTATATTAGAGAGGCCGGGGAGAATTCGGGTAGGGCCATGTTAATTGGGAACTGGGAAGTCAAAGTAGGCCAAGTCATATGACTCTGAGACTGCCATCCCAACTCATTACGGAGAAGGCCAACTGCATGCCAAATTCTCAGTTGTCATAGTACTCATAACTGATAGCAACACTAAACAATCTATAATATTCAAGCTAAAAGATGCATTATCGTGTTATTTACCAGGATGAAAGAGTTTAATGAAACCATGGACTCGGTAGAAATTTGGAAGAAGAGTCAACTAGACGCCATAAGTTTGCAGTAACCTTGAACATGTTCCGATATAACACCAACACTGCGGTTTTGTGTCACACGTCCAAAGGTTTCACAATACGGGAAGGTCAGATTGTGGGTGTGGGAAAGACAGTTGATATGTGTATGGTTATTCTCAAGGGAGTGAGGAATAAGGAAAACCTTTGAAGAATCAAGGAGCTCACTGTTTTGGCTTCCTACATTGCGAAATTCTGCCCAATGCAAGGCCATGGGCTAATTGCAAAAGCGAGAAATGCGTTGGGTTTCTTTGCTGCTTTGGAGATTCCATTCTTGAATATCAGTGGATTGAACTCCTTTGCATCTTCTCCCCAATATTCTTTGCTATGATGAATCATCAGATTTATTGAACCTCAGTTGATTGAACACGTGCATTTTGGCACCATTAGATGCCCTAATTCCAAGTCTTCTGGTGCCTCTCTAATCGTCATTAGGAGCGGGCAATACAGCATTAAAACTCCAGCAGGAACATGTTTACCTAATAAATAAACAGCTTAGGCCAATTCCGACTTGTGAAACTTTCTGGTAATTATTCAAGATAATAATATATTTAAGGTAAACTTACTAATTTTAATTTGGCCAGCATATCAGCAGCTGGAATTTTCATTCTAAACTCCTGTACAACTCTTCTCTGAGTTTGCTTGCCATTCTTGATGTGAGCTCAACAGAAAATGGTCCAAATTAACAAATTGGCGTTCTAATAGTGGCCTGTGAAATATATGTTTTGCACTCCTCCATGACTTCATCCATAGTCAGTTTGTACCATCATTTACAGTCGTTAATTTCTGAGTTTGCAATCATAAGACCAACTAGATCATCTCCATAAGGAGATTCGGATTTGCTGGTAGCTTTAGAACTCAATCTACTCTGGATGGTGCTCCTCAGTGAGATTTTAATTTTCCTATCAAGCTTCCATATTTGGAGATTTGATGAAGTGGGAAGACATATGCAAGTAAATTTTGTTATATGTTAAGCATTTTGCTTAGCAGTAAAACCTAGGCAAATTCCAAATTAAGAAAAGATAAGTTAAGAGTATATGAATTAATAATCACAGGCTGCCAGGGAAGAAGATATTGGCATATGAAGCCATAACCCAACGTTGAAGCAATTTTTGTGCCTGGAAGGCCTCCTTGCCATGAATTTAGCTACTTCCAATGCAGTGCATAGTTTTTTCAAATTCTCCAATCACTTCTATCTATTTACATTGTCCCTCGGGTATAGTAGCTTTGACTTTTCCACTCTTCAAGCACGGATATGGTACATGTTGCCATCTTGTTCACCGTAACCTGCATGACCCAGAAGACCATGGCGGTGGTGGTCTGCTCAATAATGTCTTCAAATGAGAAGAAAGGGCAGGTTAAAAAGAATATCATTTCACTACCTCAATATTTAAGTTGTTAAGTCAAACTCCCTCGAACGTTTAAACAGTCAAAATACTCGATGAATGTTGTCACTTAATCGTGGGTTGTTTTCATTACTGTCCAGAGTGGTGATGTAAGTTTTTTACTAATTCCGAGATGTAATTCCCTATAAAAATAATATATTAATAATCAAATCCAAACATCTACTACTAGTTAAGTTAAAGCTCTCTTATCTTTGATTTTCTTAAGAATTTTAGTCGTTTAGAGATGAAAATGATTTTGAAGAATGGTGGGTAAGGGGAAAAGAAGCCAACAGCTCTAATTTTTGTTTTTTATGATAAACCATATAAAATTTTATTAGAATGGAGAGGTTACCATCTAACCGTAACCATCAAAATGCAGAAGCAAGTACACAGTTTCCAGGTCCCTATCACTATTTACATCAATCAACAGAGGACCTTGTAGCCATAGGAATTTTATTAATTTCCAGTCAGATGACAAGTGTAAAGAGGGGACGAATCCGAACATCATCTGGTTTAGATGGGGAGAAAATTTTGAGATTCTTTCTACTCTTGGTTTAATACAAGAGAGAGATTAGCTTCAAATAGTGTTGGGCAAGTTCCAATTGAGCAAAGAACTCAAAGATGATCTTTTATGAAAAGGGAAACATGCTAGAAATACACTATAAAATCTTTTTGTAAGTATATCCTTGACAATATTAATAACACTGATGAGATTTGGAAGTTTATGTGGGAAAATGTAGCGCCACATAAAGTGGAGATGTTTGTGTGGCAATTAGTACATGGCAAAATTGGGATGAAGGTAGAACTCACCAAAAGAGGAGTTCATTTAGATAACAATGTTTTGTGTGTCTTGTGCAATAAAGAGGCTGAATGTTGTGACCATCTATTTGTTAAATGTAATAAGACATGGAAAGTATAGGCGGGGTGGTGCAAACTATAAGGCTTGAATTGGATATCCCCTGGACATGTTAGGGGGATTCTTAAATTATGGAACGGATACCAACTTGGGAATTTGGATAAAAGAACCTGGAAGATGGCTTTCTTTGTAGTGGTTTGGTCCATTTGGAAAGATAGGAATGAGACAATTTTCAGAGAGAAAAAGTGAGATTCATAAAAGTGTTTTGAGTTGGCTAGAATCAGAGTAGTTGAGTGGGTAAATGCAAAGTGGCCAATGGAGTTTTTGTCTATTCTGGACGTTTATCAGCAACCTATTGAACAAAACCAACGGCCAAGAAGACAAGCAAGAGGGATGGAGTGGGAGAAACCATAAAAAGGGTGTTTGAAATTTAATGTCGACGGGGCAACGAGAGGATGTTCGGGACCAATAGGAATAGGAGGTATTTTGAGAGATTCGAATGGAGAGGTGAAGGTTATTTTCTCAAAGAGTATTGGCACAGTAGATTTGAATCTTGCTGAGATTTTAGTAATAAGGGAGACTTTTCTTATTTTTTCAGCTTCACAGTGGTGAGAGCACCAACGGCTTATCATCGAAAGTGATTCAAGTAACACTGTTAAGTGGACTACAGATGTCAGTATAGCACCGTGGAGAATGAGAAAATGGTTGCTTCAAATGGAGAGAATGAAAAAAGGTTTGTTTGGTTGGGAGATAAGGCATGTTTTGAGGGAGGCAAACCAAAGAGCTGACACTCTCGTGAAAGAAGGAGTCCTACTACAAGTAGATATTCTAAGAGTGTTATAGCAGTTTCTTGTTTCTTGTTGTCTCGAGTCTTGGCTTGGAAAAGGTTTTCACACTCGAGAGTGGTCTTGACTTAAGTCTCTAGAATTTAAGGACTTTGTTGTGGTGAGATGAGTATTGTTGACCCCATGTTCTTTTTGATTTTCTATGGGAGTCTTTGTAAGGTTTTCAGGAGGTTGATTCCATCTGCAAACTGAGATTTTTTGCTTTGGGTTCATTTCACTTTCACAGGTTACAGCTTTTCTGGGGGTGTATGCCTCTTGTTTTTGTCTTCCTACTCACTTGCAGGGCTGGTTGTTCTATAAGACTTGTTAATAAAATAACTCTTCCTTGCCTTTCAAAAAAAAAATACAAGAGAGAGATTTTTCTTACATTTTGTTTTTGTTAGGGAAGAGAGACAATTAAAGCTGTCATGTTTCATATAGTGAAAAGCAATACAAACCCTACAAGGATGGTGATGATTGTGTACAGCCATCAACGGCATGTAAGGCGGATATTTTAAAAATATTTTTTATATATAAGATATTTTTGAAAATAATTTTTTATATTTTTAATTATTTTTAATTAAAAAATTTAATTTTAGATAAAATTATTTTTAATGATATCGATTCATATGTTTAGATCCATGCCTTAACCAACTCATATCCTTTGACCTTTACTCATCAGACTATTCATCTTTAGATAAAATTTTGATATTTCTTTGTATGACTATCCACTAGAAAGGGTGTCCTGTCTACTCTTGAAGGATATAATGGGAGTCTGTACTCCACGTTTGATTAATCAATAAATTTCACTTTCAAAAAAAAATAACTAATTAATTTACTTGCTCATAGCCAGGTTTAAGTTGCTCAAGTCATATAGTGTTCTAATTTACAAATATATCTAATCAATTTCAATCTCTCAACTTTAGAGTTCAATGAATATGAACCAATAAATCTAAAAACTTAAAACATATACCTTGATGTCATCTATACTCTTTGGGATAACGAGAAAGAGTTGGATGGTGAGACAAACGGTATTTGACAAGAGAGATAAATAATGATTTAATTTTAAAATTTTTATCATGATGATAAGATAGAGAAAACCGAAATCATTTTAATTTACTTGAAATTGTTTAAAAAGCATTATTATTAAGTCATGTTAAAAATTAATTAAAAATAATTAAAATTATAATTAATGATATTTTTGAATAAGACTTATGAGAAAGGATATCTCTCATAATTTTCTCTATTTTCTTCAACAAAATATTTTCATAACCATGGTCTAGGTCACTTCACGATTGGCCTTAATCGATTGTCCATATTTTTCATCTCTAATTTTAAAACATTTGGGCTAATCATGTAAAGATAAAACAGAACCTAAAGCAAAATAAAAATTATTAATGCCCATTAGATTTGTTTATGTTTTTGGCCCATTAAAATTTAAAGTACTATATCAATACAACATACAACCTTGAAGCTAGTTGCAGAGAATATTTTCGATAATCTTAAGCAAGTTCTCTGCAAGTATTTCACATGATCTGTTGATGACTTAGAAACTCTTTCTGGCTAAGTAAAAGTTTTTGGTGAAATGTTTCTGGTATTGATTGGAACTGTATTGAGTCGGCTTTCATTTTGTAAGAGATGGTTCAGGCGATGGTTGTATAGGGTGGGTGGTTTATATGGGTCGAACTCTGTGTTTCCTATGTAAGGCTACAAACTTATGTAACCCCACTGACTTATTGAATCTTTGAAATAGTCGATGGCTTAGCAATAAAAACTATTTCACATGTTAAGAGGTTTTACAATAATAGGGAGACCGTGTTGGGGCTGTAAAGAAACGTTGTCTGCCGGAGCATGTTTGTATTCAGGGGAGTGGGAGAAGGAAAACCTCTGAAGAATGAGCGCAAGCACAGCTTTTGCTTCCAGCATCGCTAAATTTTGCCCAATACAAGCTCTTGGACCTATTGAAAAGCCCATAAATGCATTCGGATGTTTTGCTGCTTTGGGGATCCCATTCATGAATCTCATTGGGTTGAACTCATCTGCATCTTCTCCCCAATATTCTTTGCTTCGATGAATCTTCACCACTGGAATTGTTAGAAGTGTGTGTTTCGGAATCATTAGATTCCCCAACTTCATGTCTTCCGTTGCCTCTCTCACCAACATTATGGCTGGGCAATATAGTCTCAAGACCTCCAGTAGAACCATGTTCACCTGATATTAGTGCTATCCAATTCAGGTTTTTGAAACATTTAAGACAATGTTTTAATTAGGAGAATGAATTTGTTCTTGAAATGTTACCAATTTCAACTTAGCCAACATATCAGCATCTGGAATTCCCATCCCACATTCCTCCAAGACCTCTTCTCTGAGTTTTGCCTGCCAGTCTGCGTGTATGCTCAACAAGAGCATTGTCCAAGTTAATAAATTGGAAGTTGTCTCATGCCCTGCGACAAAGAATGTTTTGCATTCCTCCAAGATTTCATCCATGTGCAACTTGAGATTTCCTTTAGATTGAGTAGGTTCCGCAGCTGCCATCATCAAACCGAGTAGATCATCTCCGTAAGGACAATCTGCACCACCGCTGATTTTGGAAGTCAATCTACTCTCTATGATGCGGCTGAGTGAACCCTTTACTTTCCTGTCAAGCTTCCACATTTGAAGGTTGGATGGAGTAGGGAGATATCTGAAAGATTTGAGAAAAATTAAGACAAATCTAAAAACTTAGAGAAGAAATTTAGGTGTAAGATTATAATTGTTACTGGCTGCCAGGGATGAAAACATTGGCACTTGAAGCTGCACACCATCTTTGAAGCTCTCTTTGTGCCGTAAAAGCCTCCCTTCCATGGATATAGCTGCTTCCAAAAGCAGTGTGTGCAATTATATCAGCTGTGAGCTTTTGAAATTCTCCGCAGATCTCTATCTTTGTACAGTGGTCTTCAGCTAACTCAGCTTGATGTTTCCACTCTTCAAACATGGATATCGAACAAACTACCATTCTCTTTACCATAACCTGTAAGATCCATATATCCCCTTTAAGCCATGGACATGGAAATGCTGATATATTTCCCAAGATATTAACAAAACGATGAAGAAATTAATCTTTGTTTCAATTAAGAAGGCAAATAGGATTATTCGGAATTTTTTGAAACCTTAATCTTGTCCATGGAGAAAGCAGGATTAAGAATTCTTCTGCGCCTAACCCAGTCTAGTCCATTAATCAAAGCCAATCCTTTCCCTATTAACATCTCGAGTGAAGGTCTCGCACGGGGTTTGTTGTAGTAACCAAACTTGTTTGATAGTATTTGCCTGGCCAGCTCGGGGTCTGAAATGCAAAGATGGGGATCTGTTCCATGCCAATACAGAAATGTCTCTCCTGTGTGGAAGAAAATAACATGCAAAGCTGGTTAATCCGAATGATAAGAGTGTTAATCACTCAATCTGGTTAGTCTACGAAAATCTAGTAGAACTTGCACATAGACACAGGAGCACTAAAATTTAAGGAATTACTAGGTTATAGTAGTACTATAAGAAGGACGCTGACCATATTCTGAGGACCATATGTAATAGTGTGGGAGAACACGCTTAACAATATCATTCGAGTTTGTGTCCAATATAATTTCTTCGGCTGCTTTCCTCAACTTGTTTATCTCATCGAGAGAACCCCTAAGGAGAGAGTATGGTGGCCCTCTGATTCCTTGCTTCTTGAAGCATTTCGTCAAGGCATTTGGCCTCCACACAACAATCCTAAACACTTGCAAAATCTTGGAGACTAGAACAACCGCCACAGCAGTTTTCAACGCCAAACTAACATAATCCATCCTGACAGTCTTTCCTCTGCTTATTTTTGGGATCAGTGGGGCAAAGATTGTGTCAATAAGATGTTGGTTTGCTAGTGCCGAATGGCTCGTTTGTGGTATATTTAACAGATGAGACTGGGATTTGGTCCTTTCATGCAGGGATGCCCCGTGGATGACAGTGAGGTCATTGCTGAGGCAAGAAAATGGAGCATTGGTGTATGTGGGGGACAGTTTTTGCGGCCTTGGCTTGGCAATTGGCACGTATGGCTTATAATAAGGCAACTCTTTTTAGGTATATACTAACTAGTTTTAACCTTATCCTGAAACCCCTCACTTCTCTTCCTTGCACGATACGTATTTAAGATGTGTTGATAGGATTAAATATGAAATATATTAAAATTAAATATAAATATAATATAAATATTATTTATGTTTTGAATTTAAAATATATATATGTTTAATAATTTTATAACACGACACGATATGATTAACACGTTTATTAAATATTTTAATATATAATATAATACAATTAATAACATAATTAAATAAAAATATTTATAATTAAATATAATTTTATTATTTAAATTTAAAATTAATACTTTTAAAAACAATTATAACAAAAAAATGACAATAACATCAAATATAATAAAATAAAATTTAAAATTAGAGTTTGGAAATGATATAATTGCATTATTATCTTTATAAAATTTAAAAATCTTACTAAAATAATTATTTAAAATTATTAATTATTAATTTTTAACAAGTTGATAAACGTATCATGTATACACATTTAAACACGATAATACGATTATACACGTTTATACATTTAAACACGATAACAAAATTAACATAATTAATTAAATATATTTTAAACGTAATATTCATATTTGACATATTAAGATATGAAAATTTTTGTATTTTAAACGTATTAGATATGATTGGATACGAAACACGTCAAACGTAAATCTAAATCTATTTAATTAGGTATCTTTTCATGTCATAGTAACGTATCGTGTTTAAAATTATTAAGTCTAATGAAATGCCTATCAAGTTAAATGATTAGACACCCATGGACCATTACTATATTCCGTTTGGTTTGGCCCCATTGTTCAAGCTGTTCCAGCTAGCCATCAATTTATAGCTAAGATACGTTTTGTTGGTTTTTATGTTTTTAGTTCCTGCAAAATGATTCTAGTTCTTTTTTTTTTTATTATTCAAAAAGTATAGGATTTTTTCAAAGTCTCTCATAGAGACCACAAAAAGCAAATCCTGTTTATCCGATTAAAATAAATTTCAAATCAATTTTTATGTATATTATTAACAAAAGTTAATAAATTAAACTTAGTTCATAAAAAAGTAAATTAAGTTTAAAACCATGTTTAGAACAATTAATGAATATTAGTAGGTATTGCATTAAGTATAAAAAGTTTATAAACAAAAACTAACATATAAAACTAAAATTTAATATTAAAAATTATCATATATAATCAAGTTTAAATAGTAAGTACTGTAAGATTAAACTCAATTATAAGATATCTTAATCATACTTAATCAGATCGAGTAATGTAAATTACACTCAACATTCTTTTTATTTAAATTATTACTAATTAAAATTTGGAGAGGAAATAGCGAAGCCCTTCTAAAGAAAAGGAAAAGCAGCCCTAGTTAAACGGAAGAATTGGGCGGGAGTTTAATTGAAGTCCGATATTTGCAGTAGCCAAGAGGAAATGGATTCGAAATCCGTGAGGGAATTCATAAGAAAAGAAGTACCGGATTGGGATGACGAATTGATGGCCACGGCCCGATTCAAAGCATTTAGCGGTCAAAGATCCGATTGGGAACCCAAATTCCATTTCTGGAAAGATTTGATCATCAAAATCTCCCGCCACGTTGGTCTCTTCGTCATTTCACCTTCCCAGGTTTTGAATTTTCTAATTCTCTCAGCTTCTCAAATTCACTATCTTTTAATTTTTTTTAATTTTATTTATTTAGTAAATCGTTTATTTGAAGGTAAAAAATGAGTGGTTTAATCGAGGAGGGTTGACTCCTTTGTGCCTTGATCACGTACTGGTGAGCTAAATTATGTTTCTTTCTTTTTCAAATTTGATTACAGCTTTAGGCTTTTGTTTGGGGAATTTTTGGGTTTTATTTTTTTGTCAAATTTTCAGTTTGTGATGTATAATGAAGGTGAAATAACCCGAATTTCGGACGTGGCGGATCCTTATAGCGGGAGAATGTCTCAGCTGTTTAGGAAAGTGAAAGGTTTGATGAATAGATCAACTATGACTTCAGAAGGGATTCTTCTTGAAGATCGCGTCATTCTTACAACATTGCTAAAGGTTTTGTAATGATGTTTGTGACAAGTTTTTGTTAAATCTAGTAAAGTTGGAATGTTAAATTGTTTTGTTTGATTGTCTTTAGGAAAGAGCTGATGAGGTCGTTAAGTTTTTGTCTGAAAGTCATTGGACTTTGTCTTGCATTGTTACGAGGAAGAAGTTTGAGAGCATGTGTGGAGGACAAGAGGAAGCGCATGCAGTGTTGAGTTATTTGTCAGGGTGTGGTAAAGGACAGTATCTCTCGACCTATAAGAAAGAATTAATTGAGGTATAGCTTTTTGTGTCAATGAACCTGTTTGAGTTATATGTATTTGTAAATTTTTGTTTCTTGTTGGTAATTAAATTACTGCAGGGCATAAAAGTTTCCCTTTCATCAGCAGTGGTTTCTAGTGTCTCGAGTTTAGATTTTGACACTCTGCACCTGATTTGGACTCAAGAAAAACTCCAGCAACAACTTGACATGATTGACCGACGCTGGGAAAAGTAACCTTTCTCTGACTCTTTGTACTTATCTTAAATGCTGAACTGTCTTGATTCATAGTCCATGCCTATGAAAATGTGAACTATGAATAATGCATTCAAGGATATTTAGGGTTAGGTAAAAACACTGATAAGGAGTTCACATGTCCATGAAGTTTGACTAGCATGAATGGTTGCTTTCTAGAGAGATATGGAATGTGATTCGTATGTTATCAGTGATTAAACCATTTAGGACACTAGTCATTTGCACTATGTTCCTGGTTGAAAATCTTGGTTAACTTTCTTTTGAGCCATGAGCAATTCAGAGACAATGAGTGAGCAATATGTAAGGCAGAGAGTTTTGATTTTAAAACCATATTTGCATCTTAGATTTTCCTCTTTTCCAAGCAGTTTGTTTCTGTTATGCATAGGGTGTCTCAAGTCAAGTTATACTGGCTCATGGTTGAGGTTATTCTTTGCAGGTCAAGACAGTCCGCATTAGTTTCTTTGAAATCTGGGAACAAGAAATTGGCCCTGAGACACGCAAGGGAGATGAAGTTGGGCACTGAGAATAGAGAAAAATGTACCTCACTTCTGAACAGAGTGGAGGAAGTCTTAAGTGTTATTGCAAATGCTGAATCAACAAAAAAGGTTAGACAACTACAACTTAAGTTTTGGTTTTAAACACAACATATTTGAACCTCTTAAAATTTTTGTGCGGTTCCAAGGCTATGCGAAATTGTTCAAACTTGCCAATGAAAGTGAGCTTAATGACTTGGGTTTTAGCTATTGGGAAAGTTGGTTTACAAGGCTTCTCATGGCAGAAGATAGTGAATAAGCTGATGCATAATTCTTTGATGGCAGGTGACTGAAGCAATCCAGATTGGAGCGCGAGCAATAAAGGAAAATAAGATCAGTGTGGAAGAAGTTCAGCTCTGCTTGGAAGAGCTTGATGAGAGCATTGATTCACAGAAGCAAGTTGAAATGGCGCTAGGTATATATATAGTTTATTAATCATCCTTTTTAACATCTTTGAAAGTAGAACATACCAATTAGTTTTCATTAAGCTGTTACGTGGTGTCTTGATAATATATTGTTACTTAGGTCTCTTGTCTAACATGTTCTCTTTTGACTGTTATAGAATCAGCTCCATGCTCAGGCATTGAGGATGAAGATATTGAAGAGGAATTCAGGAAATTGGAGTTGGAAGTTGGAAATGAAAACCTTAAGGATCCGATCTGTGAAGCTGCTGTTAGTGATACGACAGGCTCTGATGAATCATTGACTGAAGCTTTGTCAAATCTAAAACTAGTGGATGCTGCTCCCGAGGGATCAGCAATTCAGAAATTTGGGGTACCAGCTAAGAACAAGGATTCAAACAGCTCGATGTTTGAAGCTGCATAAATATCCATCTGCTGTTTTGATTATGACCATTTTGCGATAACTGTCAATCATTTAATGAACAGTGGTTAATAGTCCATCAATTGAGCATTTGGCTTAATAGTCCACATACGATTTTTAATTCAGAATGTGAATATGCAATGACGTCTTTTGAACTTATGTCTGATACCGTCCCTCTCACCCAATATTTTTTATCTGCTGGGTTAAAAAACCAGCATCCACACAATAGGCAAATCGCTTTGTAACGCTTAAGCAGTCCTACAAGTTGGGCCAGCAGGAATACAGAGCTTCAATCATGGTAATGGACTGCAAAGGATAGCAGTTGGATACATTGTATGAAAAGCTACCCTGTCCCTGGTCAATTATCATGACTGTGTTTGCATAATTGCGTCAGTGATTTTTGTTTCCTTCTTCACCGTTATCATCATCAAAGAAGAAAAGGGTTTTTCTATAAGGGTTGGGGAGAAGTTTCTGGAAGATTTTTAAGGTTGCCAAGGACTTCATTAACGCGTATAAGCAGCCTACTGCAGGTTGCCTCCACCCGGGCGTTTCTTCCTCTTAAAACGCTAAACGAATCCATGATCCAATGTTCGTAAATTAACACATCCCAGAAAATGCTAGATCTCCAGCATCACGCCCTGGAATTGGACAGAAAATGTTGCCAACAATAACGAGAGAATCCTCCAGGGTTCACAAACATGTACTCCATTTACCAACTGGACTATCACTTGTCATAGGCAAACCCATTTCAACCCTCTCCCAAAACTCAAACCCATCTCATAAATGCACTGCCCAAGCCGACAAAACCTTTCATCTAACGAATATCTCTTCTTTGCCACAGTCATTCAATCATCAAAATCTTTTGCGTAGCTCCCTATTTTCTCAACTTAAGTCACCTTCAAATCTTTCTGATGCCAAAAGATTACATGCTCTTTTGATTGTCAATGGATTGTTTAACCCCAGTAATAGTGATAGAGTCCTTGGTTCACAGCTTGTTAATGTTTACGTCACCTTTGGCTGTTTACAATATGCACTTTTTGTGTTTGATCAGCTGCCCCAAAGGACTAATCTTGCTTGGAACGGAATTCTTAGAGGTTTTCTTGACGTGGGTCGTTTTTCCAAGGCAATTGAATTCTATCACTTGATGATTAGTCAAGGGCTGATTCCTGATAATTTCACTTACCCACTTGTTTTAAAAGCTTGTACTGAGTTGAATGACCTCGAAGAAGGTAAGAAGGTTCGAGATTTTATTCTGTGGAATGGGAGTTATATGAAATGCAATGTTTATGTTGAATGTGCCATGATAGATATGTTTGCGAAGTGCGGTAGTCTAAGTGAAGCACGACTGATTTTTGAAGGAATAAAAGAGAAAGATTTAGCTTGCTGGAGCGCAATGATATGTGGGAATGTGCAGAGTGGAGAATGGTTTGAGGCATTATCACTATTTAGAAGGATGAGATTAGAAGGGCTAAGACCTGATTCAGTTATTGTGGCAGCTATTCTTCCAGCTTGTGGCAGACTGGAAGATTTGAACATGGGAATGACCCTTCAAGGATGTGCTATAAGGAGTGGTTTACAGAGTGATTTGTACGTTTCTAATGCTCTGATGGATATGTATTGTAAATGCGGTGCCACTCATTCTGCCTACTCTATATTTTGCGACTTTAAGAATAAGGATGTAGTCTCTTGGAGTACCTTGATTGCTGGTTATTCACAGAATTGCCAGTACCACAAGAGTTTTCACCTGTATCTCATGATGAAGGATGCAGAAATAAGAACAAATGCCATTGTTGCAGCAAGTGTACTTCCAGGATTGGCCAAACTCAAATTACTGAAGCAGGGAAAGGAGATGCATGGCTACATCCTTAAACAAGGGTTTGAATCTGATGTTTTTGTAGGAAGTGCACTGATTGATATGTATGCCAATTGTGATTCAATGATAAAAGCAGAGCACATTTTTAGAATTATGTCACATAGGGACATCACAATTTGGAATTCTATAATCGTAGGATATTCTTTGAATGGTGAGGTTGATACCGCATTTTGGACTTTTCAGAAAATATGGGATTTCAATCTCAAACCAAATTCCATAACCCTGGTTAGCATTCTTCCAATTTGCACAAAAATTGGAAGTCTCAAACATGGGAAAGAAATCCATGGCTATGCAATCAGAAGCAGTCTTGCGACAGCAGTCTCTGTTGGAAATTCTCTAATAGATATGTACTGCAAATGTGGGAGCCTTAAACTTGGAGTAAGCATTTTCAATCAGATGAAGGAGAAAAATATTGTGACATTTAACACAATAATCTCTGCTCATGGGATATATGGACTTGGAGAACACGTTTTTCAGTTCTTTGAGCAAATGAAGGAGGCAAGAATTAGGCCCAATAAAGTCACATTTATTGCACTCTTGACAGCTTGCAGTCATGCCGGTCTAGTTGATAGAGGCTGGTCGTTGTATCATTCCATGATATACGATTACAATATTCCACTAGACATGGAACACTACTCATGCATTGTGGACCTTCTTGGTAGAGCAGGGCAACTTGATGATGCCTACGATCTTGTCAAAAGAATGCCAGTGGAACCGGACATGAATGTTTTGGGAAGTTTACTTGGTGCCTGCAGAGTTCATAATAAGGTTGAGCTGGCTAGGTGTTTAGAGAAGCGCATTCTACAGAAAGAGCAGAAAGATTCAGGCCATTATACCCTGTTATCCAATATATATGCTTCCACCGGAAGATGGAAAGATGCACTGAAGGTCAGAACGATGATAAAAGAGAAGCATCTGCCAAAGAGACCTGGAAGTAGCTGGATTCAGGTAGGTTCCAGTATTTTTATGTTCCATGCTGCACAATCCAAATTAAATAACCATCAGCACATTCTGGAAAACCTGTTTCTGGAGATGAGGAAGGAAGGATATAAGCCTGATCCAAGTTTCTCATCCGATGATCTTCTGCATGATGTTAATGATCTAATGAGTTTCGATGTTGGCTGAAACTGTCAACAATTCAATGCGCACAAGCAAAACAGATCGTGTAGGAAGTAGCAACCACCAGCAGACTTCAGGGTGGGCAATCATTCAAAAGAGTTGAAAAGGGGGGGCGAACAATCTACATCTGACAATGATTATGCTAAGGATGAACTAATTTGAAGCCTGGTGAGCTTAGTACAATCTGAGTTTAGCTTGGTTCCTGCTGCCAAGATTCATCTTTATTTTTTGAAATGTACAGTTCACGAATTTCCACTGTCAAAATATTTCTTGTTCCAATAAGAAACGTCAAGCATATACTATTGTTTTGCTAGATTTACAGGTTTGCCGACATGCCCTTTTTTCTTTCTTTCTTTCTTTTTTTTTTTAATTTTGTTACGTGAGAGCTGGCTATATATACATAAATGTTGCAAGGGTTTGAACTTTCGGTATTAAAACCAAAATAAAGGATTTGAAAAAAGTTATGGCTTACCAACCTTTTGGTGAGCTAAAACGTAACTTATTCGAGAAGCCAAACTGATGAGACTACAAATCCAAGTGAATCATCACTATAGAAAGAACTCTCATGTTGGAAAGAAAAAGTCTCCAACTGCCGCAGAAATGAAGTTTGTATGTTCCAGTCGTAATGTAATGATATGGAAAAAGCAGCAACCTGCTGCAAATTAACTGCTACTGGACTGAAATTTTCTTCAGAAAATACTTGTCCTGACTCCTTCACTGTTTTGATTGGGAGAAAAGGTGATTCATGCTTCAATCGCGCTGGACATAGCTTACAAATCTTGCTCATAAAGGGTGACTCCTAGATACACCTCGTTCCATGACTGTAATTCTCCCAATTTCAATCATCGGATCCTGTTTGTTCATGGGGCCAGTGATCGCATCCTATTTGTTCAGTAAAAGATTGTAAAGGCAACATACGATCTGAGTTGCCCATCGTTGAATTGAGGGCAGGAACAAGCCGAGATATGAAGAAGCAAGAGGTTTTTGTCAGTTGAAGCGTCTCCCATGTATCGTTCACTAGTTCAAGAAATGCTTGATGTCCGGCCCCTGCAAGCTGCAATATTTGTTTGTGATATGGTTAGCCTCTCTCATTTTCGGCATTTAGAAAACGCAAAGGAACATCGAAAAACTAGAACCACAAAATCTCATCGGTAATGAGAATGAAATGCCAAATGGCTAAAGGTGTCTTTTAGGTGGGTGATTTAAAGGCGGTCTTGGATAACCAACAGGCTACCGCCATGGAGTGAGCCACAAAAATGACACTACTAAATTTTATTTTTTTTTGAAGATTAAATATGTGATGTATTCATATCAAAAGGAGAAATCCATTTACACAAAAAGAAAGGGAACCTAACAAATGGAGCTGACGTATAAAAATTGGCCAGCAAAAACTAAGTCTTGTATAAAATATTTGATAGCAAAAAAAACAGGCAAAATACCACAACCAGGCCTAAAGCAAAAAAAGGCAGAGGGATAAGTAAGAGAGGAGATATAATCATTATGAGTCTTTCATCCCCTGCAGGTCATAAACTTTTTCAGAGCATAGGAGCTCAGGAAAGCTCTCTGTCACAGAAGCATGTATTAAAACCCAACAACAAGTAGCAGCAGACAAAGAGAAGGCACCATCCAAAACAGTTAATAGGCAAATTTAATAGGCGCCATACACACATCTTTCAAATCTAACAAAGAACATTCATAAAGAATAGTCAAGACTCAAGACCTAAAATAATGCATTCAACTCAAAGCTATGGCATCTAAACCTCTTTGGTCTAATGGTTTTGATATTCAATTTTTGGTCTTTAAGCTTAAGCTAGAAAAGGGTGTTAAAATATAGTGGCATAAAATATAAATCAACAACCTCCCAACATTAAAACGATGATTATATATATAAATGATATAAAATTGATTTTATCATTAAGTTATTTATAGATATATGGATGGTTATTTTACTGAGTTAGGTTATCTTTCTTCAATTGGACTTAGACTTCTATGTCTGAGCAAAAACCGGCAACATGAATGATTGCCTTATCTTCTATTTCATTACTTTTATTTTTAATTGAAAAAAAAAGTATCAAATTCTTATATTATTAGAAAAATAAAATTTCTATATGGCAAGTGGGTAAACCTGACGGGATATCGGGGTCTTCCGAACTTTTGAGATTTCATTTGCGGTTCAGTGTTTTTGGAGTTTAATGACATGTTGGATTTGGACCCTTTGGTGTAGATAGGGAAATAGCAGCACCTGCAAGTTCCACTTGCGCGGCAGGAGGTTGAGATACCCCAGCTGGGGCCTGGACCGATACAAAAGGTGAACGTGACATCGACATTAATAACACCTGACCGGGGAACCCGAGCATGTTGAGTCTAGCTTCCGTTGTGATCCCAGGCAGAGCTGCGGCAGCTCCTGACAATAGGAAAGTTGTTGGCAACTGTTCTGGGCTGCACCCAAGACCCATTTGCATCCTCATACCCATCCCAACAGCCATGGGAGAATAACCAGGCCAATGTTGTGCATTTATCTGTTGCATCGCCGTAGGCAGCATTATCGGAGGCATATAAGCCCCAGTTCCCATTGACATCATCTGTTCCACGGATCCCATGGTTAAGGTCTAATTGACTATTTGCATATTCGAACAGAAGCAATAGTTGTAATTCGAAGAACTGGAAAGGCTACCTGAACTTGGAACTGAAGGGTCTTTAAATACTCAATTGCCTCATCAAGCATCGAAGCTTTATCCACCTAAAAAAGTCACACGTAGGAAGAGTAATCAATAGAGACCCAAGATAGATAATCCAAAAGTTTGGAACAAAGGGATGAAGGGTCTCGATTTCGTAGTCGAGAAAGTGATGGAATGATAAAATCTGCCAACCTTATTACAGTTGGGTATGAGCTCTTGCAATGCTCGCATCTTCTCGTTGATTTTATCTCTTCGCCTCTGCGTGCAAAAATCCCCAACAGCTTATCAGATTGTATATTGTAACAAAGGTCTCCATTTTTTTTTTCTTTTGACATTGCTTACCCTTTCAGATAGGTTGTGAACTTCTGCTTTTCGCTTTCTCTTAGCACCTTTGCTTCCCCGTGATGGCACTGCTTTTGTCGTACCCTCGGGTTCGTCCATTGCATTCTGCACCGTATATGTGAACACCCTTAGACTCAAAGGGGATAAGCTATCAAAAGAGATCAAACATACCAAAAAAATGCCTTTAATTAGATGAAATTTACATACTTCACTGAGATCACTGTCTTCATATCTCCTTTTCAAAGTATATGTTGGGCAATTTGAAGCCCCAAGCGAACATACCGAAGATGATGCAACCATTTGCTCAATAGGTTTTCCATTACCAGGATTTCCTTTAATGTATGTATTTGGCGCTAAATTTGACGACAGGGAGCGAACCTTACTAGGAAATCTCGTATTTAAAGGGGTATGTTTATTGCCAACGGCCTCAGATTGCTATAGGAGCGAATCATTTGAGGCTCAGAATCAGGTAATATTGGCTTCATGTTGCTTGCCAAAGAGTGTCCTTCTTTTTCAATACTTGTAATATATTTGAGCCATTAGTTGGCTCTACCAGAATCATGTTGTCAACGGGATTGCTAGTTCTTGGCGCAGGTCCGACGTTGCCTTTTAAATCCTCAGATCTCACATTGCCTTCCAAAATAGCCTCATCAGCTCCTGCTAAACCTGGACTGCTGCTAGTAGGTCTTGTTGCACCAGAGCTTCGATGGGTAGATTTAAATAGAGCTGGAGATCTTAAAAAGATGGAAAAGTTCACCTTGTCCCTTTTCTCATCATTTCCTGGGTTTTGCTCCTTCGATCTCATGAATGGAACAGAAGCTTCAGATTGCTTAAAGGAAGACTGGGGTACCACGCTATCGCTATTCATGGTATGCTGGGGAATCTCTTCTACGAGCTTGGACATGTAGCTTTGTTTAAAACTTTTGAATTTGTTTACAGGAACAATATGAGAATCTATGAGTTCCTTATCGTAGCACTTTTTGTTGGGTTCGAGAACAACATTGTATATCTTCATACAATTCTGACAAATGTCGCGTAACCAGCTTCCAGAGTTTACCTTATTCTTATTGACGACGATCCTTTTGTCAGACCTGAAAGGCCCGATAAGGGATCGCCGAACGTAGTTGCAGCCCCAGCCTTGATCTATTTTCCAGTGGAGGTTGCTTCTTCACGTTGAATTGAGCGGTGGAAGTTTGAGAAAAATACCTGAGCGGGAAACGACTCTCTTTAGTATCTTGGACGACAACCTCGATGAGAATCTCTCCTTTTCCCATACCAGCTCCAGGATTTCAGGATCACACTGCGCTAGAAACTCCATCAATCCATAGGAAACGAATATATCAAAAGAAAATGCAAAGATATAGTAGCTTGAACAACGTACATGGATGCTAAGTTAGGCAAGTGGTTTGGCATCCTCGGCGGGATTGATTCAGAGGCCTCTTCTGCCATTGAATGAGATCCAGAATGTGTGTTCGATCGAGTTACTGATAATTCAGAAGAAAATCAGACAATTATTAGTGCAAAGCAGTCCACACCTTTGTTGTTACACCTTGGAGTCGCACCTAAATGTAGCCTACCTAACCTACAAGCAATAATACTCAACAATTTGATTCTGCCAAGAAATTAATGTTCGTTTCAATTTATGTTACTCCAGTATCTACATCACTACGAATCATTTTTTATTTTTATTTTTTTACTTTTCAAATGAAGAACAGTGATGATGATGCGGGATAGAAACAAAAATTGCCAGAACAGAACATAGATAGGATTCCCTGATACTATCCAAACCAACAAGTAAACTCCACATAGGTATATTTACAAGGGACTCTTTCCCGCTAAGAGCTGCCTCTGTTGCACTCGAAATCTTAGAGATCAACGAAATTGGAATGCCACCAAAAAAGCATCAATCAAGCACTGAGATGAGTCGGATCCTTTGTAAAATATTATAAACACTGATAACACGGTAGATTGGAAGATTGCTGGGTTGAAAAATGAGTTGAAGCTTGTCTAATCTTAAATATGTTGTTGCGTGGAGGTTGGGTATCCACGGTGGAGAAGGTGGGCCACATACACTGCCCCACCATCAAAGAAGACTACCTAATAATTTGCTGTTTCGAGAGGCTGGAGACTTTTGGGACCACTGGAGTCGTGGTGTTTCAATCAAGACCATTCCCTGGGGAAAATCAATGTAATCACCTGGACCATTTCTTTGTTTCTACGCTGATAGAAGTATCACCCAAAAAACAAAAAAAAAAAAAGGGAAGAAAGAAAGAAAAGGCAGAATGGAAGCAAGATAGAAGTGAAAGAGATATTCCTGAATCGTGATGTACACTGATATTAACTGCCTTTCGACTTATAAGTATCTTGCTAATAATAGCATTTAATTTTTGACTGGGATTATTGATTCTCACATATGCTTTGAAATGCTTATAAGTCATGTTTCTCTCAACCCAAGTACGTATTTCACACTTAGTTGAGGATCAGGGCATATAATTTATTCCTGGACTATGATAGTACGTAAATATTGTAAACTCCCTTAATTCAAATTATCAATTTAAACAAAAAAAAACTACTTTATATCTTGTATTAAAATTTTAATCACCGACTAGGTTATTGCTCTTTAAAAAACTTTATTTTAGACATTAAAATACAATCAAATAAGTTTAAAAAAAAATCAAAGAATGGAATTTAAGTTACATGACCAAAAAAGGGTCTGATGATGCAGTAGTACATTAATTATTAGTATTAATTACTATAATAGTTGATTAGAATGAAACCCATACCATAAGTTGGTGGGTAATTGAAAATAAGCCAGGAGGAAAAGCATGCCAATGAACGGACAGTGACGATCATTTTCATTATCTTCATTATCTTGAAATTGAAAATGAAGCTTCAAAACGTGACAAGGACGTGACCAAAATTTTTTGTTCGAGCCCACGAAGGCATCCAAGACACTCACGTGGCCTGGGGTTCACGACCACGACTAGCCACAGTCTCAGTGGAGCCACCGCCCAGTGGTGACATGTAACCCAATTAATCAGTTAGTCAACCACCATCGAATCAAATCCTCGCATAGGGAGAGATTGGAAGAGAAAAGCGTGTACTTCACGTGGTCACCTATGGTTCACGTGCCACTATGTTTTCTTGTCTTTGTACTTTTTTAATTTTATTATTCTTTTAGTTGAAAAGTTTTTTTCTGCCTTCCGGGGTCGACGAAACAAAACCGTGGCCAATCCTTGAAGAAAACAGACAGCGACAGTGCTGAGAAGGGAGGGACTCAGGCCACCACAATGATGAGGATATTGAAAGTCACAAACTCAACGAAGCATTAAATGGTGTCAGAAGTAGTACCCAATCCCACGTAGAATATGCCCGAGAGGTTTTAAAGTCTTTCCCTTTCAATACTGGCGTGTCTGTGTGAGAACCCCCAGAAAATGCTGCCCCTGCTCTCTCATAGTTGTGTGCCACCTAACAAAGGCGACATGCTGTTTTATTTTTTCTTTTCTTTTCTTTTCTTGTCTATTCAATTCTGATGAAGAAGAAAGGCCACAATGGGTAATCAGTTCCTTTACATCATACCGATGTAAAAGAAAGAAAAATTAAAGACAACTCTCACGCTGATTGTGGTGTATGTAGACTTGCGTAAAACATGAAATAACATCAGCCCCTGGGACAGAGATAGTTAAATAAGTTTAAATAAACCCAACACCATAAATACAATGCCAACAATAAGATTCTTGAGCTTACCGCGAGGTGTTTACAAATGTGCAGTGACAAACAACGAAATTAAAAACATGCATATCCATTTCATGCAGTACGCAACAAGAAAATAGTACTATCATTTTCCGCCATTTACGGTAATCTAGAATAAAACCGACCAAATCTTCAGAAAATACAAGTGGCATCATCTCGGTTCACATGTATTAGCCAACAAAGAGTTACTACAGATATAATGCAATTACACATCAGAATCATTTTAAAATACTTGCGGGCCATAAATCTAATTCCCTATTGTCCAAAATTCTCTACATATTTGTCTCAATCCAATCATACTACTCAAAGTACCATGGGCATCAAGAACTCAAGTTACAGGCCACTCAAAGAATATCTGATGTCTCCACTGTTACCTATAAGGTTCTATTGGACATATTGAAAGATGAATTATCAATGGCTAAGTAGGATAAGGTATTAGGAAAATGTTAGGACATTCAAAACTTACAATGTGATCTTCAGGCCTCCGTCATGCTAGTATATACCGTCTTTCAAGCACTCAGCTATTACATGTTTCAGCTGGAGCATCTTTTCCCTTGCCGACTGCATAAAAATTAGGATTATAACATGCATGTTATTAAGGATTCACAACATTCAGTTCCGAATTGTAATGAAGATTTAAGTGCTACAAGGCATGGTCTCTTAAGACTATCTCAAGTATGAGGACTAAACATAAAGTTGGTAGCAACAGAAAGATCCCACCCGACTATGAAGACGTTCATAGGTTCAAGCCTTGCAAGATTAGAGCTGCAAAAAAATTACATATCACAGGCTTCTTTTTTAAGCAGTACTTAGTTAGCGAACCACAAAAGCATGATGTACACCCAACAGCATATATTTGAAGCCCACACAAATCTACAGTGTAGTGGCTCCCAATTAATGTATCTTAGTTACCAACTCACCAAAGTTTGATATCTGAATGGCTATATTCCCAGAACCAAGCATTCGGCCAGTGGATGCCCCACACAATTTGTGGATTACGCTGTGCCTGAATTGTAGAAAAGCTAGCCCTAAACTTTTATTATAAACAGAAACAGCGAACTTGCCTCGTGGACAGCTGTGATTCTTCTTTCAGCATTATTAATTTGGATTTCAACTGCTTCTTCCACATGCACGAGAAGCTTCTGGTGTGATGCTTCTGTAAATATGAGACAGATTCAGGCATTCAGCATACACCAGAATATTATTTAAGCATAACACCAGCTACATATGTACAATCACAAAAGACTATCAAATGTAATCTGTAACTATGCACTGAGTTCTACGTTTGAAAGAATTAATTGTCAGTTCGCTGCTTGATATTAGTTCAAGTTAGTAGTTTTAATGCTGCAGTGTAACCAGATTCAAAATTTTTCATACTCCCATAAATAATTTTAAAATACAAGAATAAGCTAGTGAAGGTTGTAAATACTATATTCCTCAATGCAACCACTAATGCCAAGTTTTGGTAGTGCTAGTGTTTAAATGGGACCTTAAACACTGCAGTGTTTCTCAAATCAAGTATAAAAATTTCATTGAGTCCGCTGTTCACAGTTGGGATGCATCACAATATCTTAGATGATGTCATACCCAAGAACCTCAATGACTAAAGTAGTGTCTCCAAATTGACATAGCCTTGCATGAGAAATCATGGATTGAATCAATATCGCAGTGAGTCCCGCTGTCCCAAGAAATATTCCACACAAAAATATTCCATATCCACCAATGAAAACTTTCATGCAATTAGCTTCACTGCATGTTACTGACAAGGACAGCATGTGTCTCATAATCAAGCAAATGGTGTCACATTTTATAACACAATCCTCACATTTTTGCTTAAGCTAAATGGAAACATCAACAAAAACAAACAGCAATAAAGCAGTCATCAATAAGGAATTTATTGAAAATATATAGAGTTCCCATACTTTGTTTCTTCATGATTCCCTTCAACTCAATTTGGTGAGTTTCCATCCCGTCAAGGGTACTTCTGCAGCCCAAAAGATGGTGATGTATATCCTCCATGAACTTTTCAAGTATCAGCTTCAATTGTTCTTGTTTCTCTGCAAAAAAATAAAGCAAATAAAATAGAAAATAAATCAAGTCAAGCCTCCTTGAGAGTTAAATTACCAAGAATAGTAATTAAATACTGAGAATCCAAAAGACCAGTAGCATTCATGTATCAAGTTTATTTTAAAAACTGCTGCAAGTTTGTAAGAAAAGAAAAGGTGAAACTGTGTTTGGTACACTCTAGCATGGCTTGCTTTCCACCACATCAATAATCATGTTTATCACAAAAAATAGGATCCAACTCATGCTTTTTGTTAAAAGCATGAGTAAGATGGCTAATGTATCAAATCTAACTACATCTAAATAGCAGCCATCTTGCCTGTGATGCCTAGTCATCCCAGACCCATAATGAACATACAAACAAACACCAAGACTCAATGTAACTCCATGTGCCAGACCAGCAAACTACAAGTATATAGGCACTTATTTGGGGCTGTTAATCAATAACACAAATATCAGAAACAAATAATACTAGTCTAATTCATGACACAAATAAGCAACTTTCAATACAAATAGAAGTCGATGACATTTTTTTGAAGTCAATGATGCTATTCAGTTAATAGAAACTGTCACCTTGAAATCTTGTTTCCAGGCGTTTCCTTTTTGTTTTACTGAGACTAGTCAGCTTCCCTCTGAAAGATTATGAAAACAAAAGCTAAGTACCAACATGTTGGATAAGCAAAGATTTCAGTTCGAAATACTTACATATCAGATTCAATCTGAGACTCAGCATTTAGCAGCAACGACTTAATCTCCTCAGAAATGGACATCAAAATCTCAGAGGACTTCTTTCTAGTTGCTGAATCCATTTTCTGTTTAAAAGTTTCTAAAGCCAAAGCAAACAATGTAACAGCCCTGTAACATTGTCAAGCAAAACCCAATTCAATCAAGAATACGGGTGATGGTACACAGATAGTATCAGCAGGTATTTCCTAATCTTTGCTTATATATAAATAAGAACCTTGTCAGTTCATCTTCTTGATCCTGTTCTGAGGGTTCCTGGAACCAAAAACTTTCTCCATCCCCAACCCCTACTGAACAGAAATAGAAAAGAAACTACTTTAGAAGGAAACTAATATAAGGATAATTAGAGGAGCAGTGGTTGTTCAATGCTATGAAGCTGTGCCTTTTTGAGAGGGTGAGGTGGGACTGAATTCACTAAGTCTGAAATCTTCATGGTTTTGAAGTCGTTTGATTGGACAATGCACCAAATTTGGTTTCTCAGCAATAACTGTCTCTGGTGAGGTTATATTTTCTCTGTGACCTTAACACACCATCAGATAAAGAACCAAAGGAGCTTCCGTTAAGAAGAAATGTTTAGATGAATAAATCAGAAAGAAGATGAAGTTAAGAAGAGTCTATGCTGATGCATCACACTATACAACAATACAGACTGGTCAGACCTTGTGAAGGCAGTTAAGCTATGCAAATTGAGAAACAAAGTTAAGTAGATTAATTGATCTTGGAGCAAAAGCCAAATGTGACAAGTTACCTAGAATTCTTCTCCAAAGTGATAAGTTACCAAGAATTACACATGCAATAGAGCAGGCTAATAATTTCCTGGCACAATATTAAAAAGACTAACCACAGTCACAAAACGATGTGGTCTTTGCTCTAAAGAGTTTACCAAAGAGAAAACAAAATTTCCAATCAACAAGCCATAAGCAGAGGGTGCAATATCAAAAAGAGAGATCAAAATTAAAACTGCAACTTTTCATTTTTCCTACTTTTGGAAACATACAGCCCACTGATAAGAAATCAGTCAGCAGCAGTAAATCAGGTTAGAATGTCTTGTAAGCATGTGAATCCGAAGGGCATATATGAACACAAAAGAAGGAAATAATGTCTAATGTACCACCTTATCAACTAATTATTTAGAAGTAACTAATGGTAAATCACATCCTAAATGGAGTTCTGCAAATAAATGTTTGGAAGAATGTACATAGCATGTTTCAGAAAAGCGGTTTAGACACTTACAGTCATATCTTTTAATAATGGGCGATCCTTCTTCAAAGCTCTCTGACCACCTCTCTTCTGATGATGGTTCAGAATGCTCATTTACTGCATCAACATTTTCCTCAATAGGCATTGGATTCCTGAGTGATGAATCGATAGGCTTCTCTGTATCATCCTGAACTCAATAAGGAAGGGCAAAGGCAGTGAAGATAATGCTCAAGTTTAGACATATATTCAACTGCGATATTAAAATCTTGAAGAATAGTTAAGGATACAGGTGACTGAGATTGTGCAATGGATTTATTACAAACTGGTCTTGAACATTGGAAAGTCCTGAAGCTCCTGATATTTCCTATGGTAAATCCTCTCTCTAATGGTACAAAACTACAATCACCTTGCTCTATATCTACAGTTTTTGGTGTTGGGCTTGGAGAAGTATTTAAAGTAGGTGTTCTGAATTCAAAAGTTGGACTTTGGAAATCATGTTGTGTATGCACAACATTCCTCAAAGATATATTAGCTAAATCTTCTTGTTTTTCCCCTCTTTCTGGGGATGTTGGATTGTCAAAATTAACCTGCTGGTTTGTCTTGTTGATCACTGGAGAATACAAAGGGTCCTTGTCTTGAACCTTTTCAAAGTTTTCTTTACTTTTCTCATTGAAGGAGCCAGGAAAGCTTTCAATCTTATTGCCAAGTAAAGAAGTCTTCTCTGCAGGCACCGAAGTTTCACTCCTATAAGTTGTTTGTTGAATCTCATCTGCATTATCCTTTCCAGGAAAACAGATCCTACGTGGATCAATGTTAGAACTTTTCTTCTGAATTTTCATTTTCCCGGACAAGGATGAGCCACTATTGGCAGAACCATCTAGCTTTGTAGGCCTTCCTTCTCCAAAAGAGAAGATGCTTTCTCGATGTTTCTGATTGGAGGATAAACCAACTTTAGTTTTGTCTGGTTGCACTTTGGCTGCAGTTCTTTTTCGAGTCAAGGAACGGGTTACTGGCCTCTTAATAGTGTTATCAGGATTGTCTGAATCAGTTTCTATAGTATCTGAATTTTGTCTGGGCTTTGCAACTGTGTCTCCCATATTATTAGTGATTATCTCTGGTCTTAAATTATTGGCATTGAACTCATGAGACTGTGAGCTAGATTGCTGACTTTTTGGTGAAGAAGCAGTTCCCAATAACTCCCGCAGCTTGATTTTCAAAGCTTCAGTTTGAACGTTTTGTCTTTTATCTGCTTTGTCCTCTACCACCACTTTATCTGACTCAAGAAATTCTCTATGTGCATTTGAAAATTTGAAATCCTCAACTGTCTGTGAGTTGCCATCCTTCCCTCCTTTCCTTTTGTAGGTGAGACCATCACGCTTATTCTGGTTGCTACCAACATTCTGTGGATTCAAGTTTTGGTTTGGAAAAAACTGAACTGAATGTGTTAATGCCACATCCTTCACTGCATTAAGTTTCCTCTGTCTACAGTTAGAAGTTTCTTCTGGGAAAAAGACAGTCTCTGAAGCAAGAGATTTTTTATGAAAGGATCTAGGAGTAATCCATGGAGATTTAACCAGCTCAGCATCTTCAGTTTGCCTCCCCTTGGCAGTTTTGACAGCTTCCCCTTTGGTTTTTCCCTCAGTGGAAATTCCAGTGCTAGGTTTGGTTCTTTCTGTGTTTGGCAGTTTACCCTCATTTTCCTTGGTGGTTCCAGTTTTTCTCTTAGATAAGGAGTCTACTGTGACTCCTATTGATATCTTTCTAGATTGGCTGGATGGATGATAATTGCTGCCAAAACTTCGACAGTCACTCATTGGATCCTGAAATAGAAATCTGCAAGGCATCAAACACTTAATTTCTTGCTGCATTTATTGGGGTTCGAATAAGTTAACTGCAATAGTGAATGCAGTATACCAGTACTAGTTCACTGTTATGAATTTTATTTGTACACCTAAGCAAATTAAGCTAAATTCGTATTCAAAAGAGTCCAAAACCATGTAACTTGCACGTACCAGGAAAACAAGACCTACAAATTGCAAGAACTGGAAATGAATCTACTCAAGGAAAAACAAGGCAAAAAAAATGAATAAAACTGGAAAATTAGTCAGCTACTATTATGCACCACCATGTACAACTTAAATGAATATGAAATATATTTAAAATAAATTTGTTAGTCAAGTAGAACACTTGAACTTATAATAAACAGGCACTGCTAGCAACAAAAATTGCAGAGATGTAAGTTATGGAATGCAAACTCTTGGAGCAAGAAAGAGGTAAGATGGTTCAACCAAACGAAAATGCAGCTTAAAAACTGGCATGTTTCCTACTCACTTCTCGTAAAGCTCGCCTCACATCTACCATTCTCGCAATTTTAGCTAGAATTACATAAAAAGGACACATCTACTGGGGAGCAGCACGTAGAGTGAGCAATTGAAGTTTAGAAGAAGAAACAAATAGAGTAAAAGTACATCTCTAAAACTCTGTTTGGTTAATGAGAAAAACATAAAAACACAAATTCATATTTCAACTTCACTTTATTCGAATTATTAGATAAGCTTAGGAGATCTCTCTACTTTCTCATCAGATGCCAGGTTTTGAACTGTTTTTTCTCCTCTCCCTTTATATTTTCTCGTTAGCCGAAAAAAATGGAAAGAAAAGGCATAAAACACCCAATCGTCGGATATGGAAAGAAACTAACAAGTATATATGTGCAGCTCAGAAAATCAACCCATGCTTTTAAGAAGTAAGATGAAAAAAAAAATCAGCAAAAACATGAAACGCATATTCTTAAACCCTAATTTATCACAACCGCAAGAAAAACCCTGAACAATAAAAATTAAAAGCAAAAACAATATCGTAGAATCGAATTCCCAGCGATTACCGAAGCCTCTAAGATCATATAGTAGGAAGCAAAATCTATGGAAACGTGAAATTCGAAAAGAGAAATCAGGGAGAGCGCCTCTATAAATTCCCCATGGTTTTAGAAATTTAAACTTAATAAAATATGAAATAATGTTTAAAAAATCCGAAGCGAAATTAATTGGAATTGAGAGAAATGTAATTTCTTACTGGACGATCTCGCGCTGATACTTGAAGATCGATAGGTTTTCGATTATTCTTGGGGATTTTGAACGAAAAAAATAAGGAGAAGTAAGGTGAAGTGAAGAGAAAGATTGTAGAGTAATAATGATAGAAATAAAAAAATAAAAAAAAAGAGTGCGGTGAATTTTCAGGTGAGTTTTGCGAATCGGGAAAAGAGGCGGGAAAAGGGCAATTTGTTCTTAGCGTCTTCAGATTCGAAACTGAAACGGCCCAAATATTTTAGCGCACATGGCGTGCGCATTGCCCATGTCACTGGTGCAGTCAATTGTCAAATTGCCCCTGTAATGCTTTTCTTATTACCATCAAATCAGGATGTCCAAATGGATGAGGCTGCGGCCCCACCGAGCAGATTTCCTATCCTTGTCACCTTGCGAAAAAAATTTAAAATCTCAATGTATGGAACAAAATTTTAAGATTAAACCCATTAAGCTTGAAATTTGGAGGCAAATTTTTTATGCACATAGTATTTTAAATTTGACACTCCTTCTAAAAAATCAAATTAGAATCTTCATTTATTTAAAATTAAAAAAAATTATTATCATTTCATCTACATTGAAAATAGTTTTTGTCTTCTTATATAAATTTCAATTTCAATTTTTAAAACTTTAAAAAGGATTTTATCAAAAATGATAAATAACAAGTTAATAATATGCTTGCCATGCAAGTTAAGGTCGAATTTGAGTAACAACTTAAATTAATATTATTATATAATAATTATGGTCAAATACTAGTATTTTTTTCACTTTCAAATATATTTTATCATATTTTGAATATATTTAAATTAAATGTAAAATTATCATAAATAACATCACTTAAGAAACATCGCAACCAAATAATTTTACATCAAACACCATCCTTTAAGAAAGAACTTCAATTGTTTAATTTTTCATTGATCAACAATTATTACCAACAATAATAATTGTTTTTTATTTATAACTAATTAGATTTTACTATCAATATCCTTTTAAATCATTTTTCAAATTATCGTTTTAGGTAATAGATTTTTATTATATTAAAATTTGTGATATTAATCATTAATTATTTTATTAAAAGTAAAAATATTATTGCAAAATAATATTTTAACTAATTGTATTGATTAGTTGATTCAACAAAAATAAAAAAATTTAAAGAAAATTTATTTTATTAATAAATTACCTATCATTTGTATCCTTTTTATTTTGAAATTCAAGAATTTGGATATGAAGACTAATAAAATAGTTTCCTTATACTTAAGTTGTTAGTTTTTCAGAATTAAGGTTACTGATAATCAGTAATTCACTTTTTAATAAACAATTCCACAATCAACCTTTTAATTTCATATTGCGCTATTAGTTATCAACGTGTAGAGTATTCATTAATTTTGAAATATCTGAATCCTAATCTTATAAAAAATTAAATACTTGAACACTATTAACTATTTGAATAATTTTAAAAATTATTACCCTAACTCTAACTCTATTACATTCCTACTATCTTATAATTACCCTAATCTATTTAAAAACCCGATCAGATAAAAAAATTATTAAAATATTATTCAGGGTACTCCATTATCAAATTCGAATCTAAATTCATATCCATATACAAAAATATTTATCTTATATATTTTATATAATTAACTACTAATTAAATTAATAAAAACACAAATAATAAAATTTAAATTTAAATAATCAAAAACTATAAAGTGTGTTTATAAATGAACATAATATATAATATAAATCAATATAATTTTCTTGTTTAGTAATTATTAACTTATATAATAGTAATTGTATTCTTTATAAATGAACATAATATATAATATAAAATGTATGTATTAAAAGATATTACAAGCTATATACTATAAAGTATGCGTGTATATATATTTGTATATATTATAATTAATAATTTTATAAATTATAATTTTTATAATGTTAACATAAAATAAAAAATAAATATATTTATATTTAAAATATTTTAATATATATAAATAATAGTAATTATATTCTCTATAAATGAACCCAACATATATAAAGTATAGATATTAAAAACATTAGAATTTAATTAATAATCATAGTTTTATTAATTAATTTAATTAATTATGTGAGTTCGTCTTTAATTACATGAAATTAAAAAAAAACTAAATTTCAAAACTATTGTAATCTCACAACTTCTTTTTAAATAATTAAATTTATATATTATAAGTTTATATAAATAAAAATATGTATATTATAATTAATAATTTTATAAGTTAAAATATTTGTAATGTTAATACAAAATAGAAAATAAATATGCTTATATTTAAAGTATATATATGTGTACACACACTAAAAGTATTTTACTATATGTATATTAGTAATTATATTATTTATAAATGAACTCAAAATATATAAAGTAAATATATTAAAAGACATTACAAGGTCATTAATAATCATAATTTTGTAAATTAATTTAATTAATTATATGACTTTGTCCTTAATTACATGAAATTAAAAAAAATACTAAGTCTCAAAACTATTTTAATCTCACAACTTCTCTTAAGATTTGTAAATTGTAAGTTTATACAAATAAAGGTGTATATATTATAATTAATAATTTTACAAGTTATAAATTTTGTAATGTTAATATAAAATAGAAAGTAAATATATTTATATTTAAAGTTTATATATACTAAAAGTATTAGTGTATATATAACATAGTATATATATTTCTTATAAATGAATCCAATATATATAATGTATATATTAAAAAATATTATAAATTAATTAATAATAATAATTTAATGAATTAATTTAATTAAATATATGAGTTTGTCTTTAATTACATGAAATTAAAAAAATAGTTAAATTCTAAAACTATTATAATCTCCAAGACTTTCTTTTAAGTATATATATTATAAGTTATAATTTTTGTAATGTTAATACAAAATAAAAAATAAATATATTTATATTTAAAGTATATATATAATAGTAATTATATTCTTTTGTAATATGATATGATATTTATATTATTTAAATATAATTAATAATTTTTTAATTTAAATATATTAATATTATTATATTAATAATTGGAGTAATAATATTTTTTAATATAGTTATTAATTTTTAATAAATATATTAATATTAATTATTTTTAATTTAATTATTTAAATAATAATAAAATATATATAAATAAATATATATTAACATAATTGATTTCAAGTAACAGGTCCTCAAAGGTTGTATCTAAATTTTACTCAAGCCCGATACAAATAGTAAAATTACTATCTAAATTTAATTATAAAATACTCAAATATGATAAAGCACCCACTACCGTCCCTAAGAACTTGAGTATTACCATTTGATATAGATTGATTGCCCAAATGGAAAAGAGAAAATCAACCGACTCAGATGTGTGAGTAGTCACACTCTACATTTCCTCTTGAAGATAACACAATCTAGCCCAAGTCGTCGTTTCACCCGCGCACATCGGTGAATATCCACTTATTTTAATTACAGTCTCCTTTCTCGTTCTCGCTCGCTAGGCCCCGTCAGCCATGATCGCTCTAACGGACATCTCTCTTCTCCGCTCGTCGCCCTTCGTTTTTCCCTTCTCCATACCCAGACACCAAATTCTGCCCCGCGTTTACAAACCTTTCAAGCTCCGATGCTCCATCGCGGAGGGGCCCACAATTTCCTCATCGAAGATCGAAGGCGGAGAATCAACAATTGCGGATTGTGTGATCGTAGGAGGCGGCATCAGCGGGCTGTGCATTGCCCAAGCTCTTGCCACCAAGCACCGTGACGTCGCTTCCAATGTGATCGTGACGGAAGCCAGAGACCGGGTCGGTGGCAACATCACTACCGTTGAGAGAGATGGATATCTGTGGGAAGAAGGGCCTAACAGTTTCCAGCCGTCTGATCCTATTCTCACCATGGCGGTAGCTTCCTCTTAATCCACATTGTTCCTGAATTACATTTTTTGTAACTATTTCTATAGTTAATTAATTTATGCCATTTAGCTTATAATTTGGTGCTTAATTGAACTACGTTATAACGGGAATTTTAGGTTCCTATTGGTGTTACTTTTCAAATGAATGTTTGTTGATTGCTATAGGTGGATAGTGGATTGAAGGATGATTTAGTTTTAGGTGACCCTGATGCGCCGCGATTTGTAATATGGGAGGGCAAATTAAGGCCTGTACCCTCCAAGCCAACTGATTTACCGGTTTTTGATTTAATGAGCATCGGTGGAAAACTTAGGGCTGGATTGGGTGCTCTTGGCATTCGGCCTCCTCCTCCAGTTTGTCCTCTTCTCTTTCCTATAAGCTACTGAATTTCCATGTCATATTTGTGCTTACATAAAATTTTTGTTGAATGAAGTTTCTCATATAGAAAAGTTTGACAAAGGTGACAGGGTCATGAAGAATCAGTGGAGGAGTTTGTGCGTCGTAATCTTGGTGCTGAAGTTTTTGAGCGCTTGATTGAACCATTTTGTTCAGGTGATGATTAACAATCATTATTGTCAATTATATTTTATCTTGTTCATGTATTTTATGTGTGCAAAGCATTTGTTATTTAATCACAGTCTGTGAAGAATGTCAACTATTTAGATAGATATTCTGTTTGGACTAAACCCTCTTGTCAACTGGGCATGTTATTTGTCCTTATTATCTTTAGTTATTCATACAAGTAATGGTGCCTTTGTCGCAAATGCTAGCATGGTGACTGCCTTTGCATTGTTGCCATTGCTGAAATAATAGCAGTTCTTGAAGTTTCCCTTTATGTAATATTTTACATTGCTTTTGGTGATAATTCCAGTCTTTATTATGTATTCACTTATCTTATCTGCAATGATGTTTTGTCTTAGGCCATTCATTTTCAGTCGATGAGTTATATATTAGGGCAATAATGAAGCAGTTTCTTCCAAATCAGCATCTTTTGATTTAGAAGTTTTCGAACCTTAGTACTAATATATAGTTTTTGTTTTAACTAAGATATTTGTATGCTTGAAATGTTTTTGTTCTTGCAGGCGTTTATGCTGGGGATCCTTCAAAATTAAGCATGAAAGCAGCATTCGGCAGAGTATGGAAGCTTGAACAGATTGGTGGTAGCATCATTGGTGGCACTTTCAAGACGATCCAGGAGAGAAATAAAACACCTAAGCCTCCCCGGGACCCGTAATTATACACATATCGAGGCTTTTGATGTGGTTTTTTAATGATATTTATTTCGTACTGCTGAGTATGGTTATCTTGTAGGCGTCTACCGAAACCCAAGGGCCAAACAGTTGGATCTTTTAGGAAGGGACTTGCCATGCTGCCTGAGGCAATTGCTACTAGGTAGCCTGGTCACCATCTCAGCTATGATTTAAGCCTCCATAGTGGCTCTAAAGTGTCAATATGCATGTAGGCCCATATTCAGGTTTCAGGATCCTTATTAGTTGTGTTGACTTGGCAGCTTGGTTGGCAGCGTTAAATTGTCATGGAAGCTCTCCAGCATTACTAAATTGGAAAATGGAGGGTATAGTTTGACTTATGAAACACCAGAAGGAATGGTCTCTCTTCAGAGTAGAAGTGTTGTCATGACCATTCCATCCCATGTTGCAAGTAACCTGTTGCATCCTCTCTCGGTATGTTACAATTTTCACCTTTTTTTTGCTAGGTCATCCTTTTATGACGTTTTGGTAACCTCCAGCATAGAAGGTTCACTCCCTTATCTTGTTTTGTCTGGGTTGCTAAATTATCTATATATTCTTGGTTTATGTGCAGCATGCATGTATTCATCTGCTCATGTTTGTTCTCCTAAATTTGATAAAACACACTGTTGGCCAAGTTTGGACTACGAATTGGACATCTTTTATATGGTGTGTTAGCCCACTGAGTCATTCAAGTTATTCGCTCAAGCTAGTCAAAATCTAGTTTCTTGAGAAATTTTCCATGCATGATTTGTGGTTTAATGGATCTGTAAGAAATTCCTGATACTAATAATGTATATGGATACCTAAAAAGATCTTTTATTAACAACGGAAGATATCTGAAGAAAATGGCTGTTGAATGGACTAATTGAGGCCATGTTCTAGTTCTTTTACTGATTTAGTTCAGAATTTTAGTATAATTCTTTGATCCATTTCTATATTCTGTATGCAGGCTGCTGCTGCTGATGCACTATCCCAAGTTTATTACCCACCAGTTGCATCAGTCACAGTCTCATATCCAAAAGAAGCTATTCGAAGAGAATGTTTGATTGACGGTGAGCTTAAGGGGTTTGGCCAATTGCACCCTCGCAGCCAAGGCATTGAAACTCTAGGTAACTCTACTCTTCCTGAAAGTAGCATACCCCGGTCTTATGCTGAATGTTTTTGCATTGAAAAGTTTCGTTGAGAAATTTGATTGATTAGTAAAAAACTCGCAGGTACAATATACAGTTCATCACTTTTCCCCAATCGAGCTCCATCTGGCAGAGTTTTGCTCTTGAACTACATTGGAGGAGCTACCAATCCTGGAATTTTGTCCAAGGTAGACATCTTTTAAGAAATAGAATTTGAAAGTTTCATTGTGGACAATGTGACTATGTATAGGGAAGCATTGAATGGTAGGTCTGAGATATTTTCTATGCTCCATATAGGGAGAACAATGCTATTTCTAGTAATCCATCTTGAAGATATTAAGAACCTGTCATAATCAATGACTAGTTATCAAGTGTGTGCAACAAACTTTAAATATATGTTGGTCAAAATTAGTGACAGGTTCAACTTTTATCACAACTATGATTTGTCACGTAAAACTATAATTAACGTTTTCTGTGATTAGGACTTCATTGCTCAAATGAATTGGCTTGTTTTTGGTCTGCATAAGCCAACTAAATTCTTGCCTGATTCTTGTAATAACTACTCTTGCATTTCTTTTAATATATGTAATTAGGTGGATTTGTATGGCAAATCATATCCTCTGAAGCTTTTTCCCTTTCCCATTATTATTTTTAATTTTTACTAATACTGAATTTTTTCCTGTAGACTGAAGGTGAACTTGTAGAAGCGGTTGACCGTGATTTAAGAAAAATGCTTATAAATCCTAACGCAAAGGGTCCCCATGTATTGGGAGTGAGAGTATGGCCACAAGCAATTCCTCAATTCTTGGTTGGTCATTTGGATCTCCTTGATACTGCCAAAACTGCTCTCATGGATTCTGGGTTCCATGGGCTGTTTCTAGGGGGCAACTACATATCTGGTGTGGCATTAGGACGATGTGTGGAAGGTGCATACGAGGTTGCGGCTGAAGTGAAGGACTTCCTATCACAATATGCATACAAATAATGTAGAATTTTAGGTGGAGGCTGCATGTGTAGAAATGCATTTTTGGCTGGTATCTCTTTAGCTAAAATTTTAGATAGCCTTTGATCAAAATGCGGTTCCTTGACAGGTTTAGGAGTTTTCGTTAGCATTCTATATTTGTAAAATACTACTAATTATCATGTTGCAATATCATTCTTGACAACAGTTATACCATTCTTAATTTTCTTGTCCCATGATCAGTACCTGGCCTTGGAGTTGGAGGAGCACATGGACTGGCGCATTAAGATTTGGAACATGAAACTTAAAACATTTCGTCTTCCTGTAACCTGTGCAACTATTCATGACCATACGCGCGGTGTAAAACGGTTATGCTTGCATTTGAGAAACTTCTGGCATAGTCCCCTTGCCTTCTAGAAGGCCTGGGGACTCATTGGTGTGAGCTGGTCAGGCATCAAATCCTCTCGATCCAGTGGGTTACATCAGTTGCACTCAAGACAGTGGTATTATTCGTGAGTTATTAGACGCAGATGGCTAGGAATTAATGTTTCACTTCCTTTTCTAATGAAAGTTCTTTGAAGCTTTCCCCTAAAAATGTTTTGAGTGGTCCAACTTAACGATGGGCCGGTAAAAAGAGGACCCATAAAGGTGACGGGTCACGAGCGGTCACAAATCATAAAATGGTTGCGGTAGAGCCAAATTTTGAACAGTGTTGGTCTCTTCCATTTCATTTATGTTCCCTCTGGGTGGGCGAACTCTGCTGCGGTGCCCCCGGACCTGGGATTCTGCTATTTATTTCATTTCCAGCAACTTTCACCCTTACCATGGCTATTTATTTCTTTTACTGCAACGGCAAGTCCTTAATTGTTGTTGTATTTATTCTTTTGGTAGCGAATAACGAGTCATTCTACAATTATTACGAAGAATAACATGCTATTTGGCAGAGCCTTGTCTCTAATTTTTTAGGCAAGCCTCTTCTCTGCTCTTTATTTTCATTTAAACGGCAATGAGGACTCCAGGAGAGAGTCCAATTATATAAAAAGCCTTTGCCCAAAGTAATCATTCCACTCTTTTCTTTGACCAATACAATTTTAATAGTGATAGTAGTGTTAATTAATTTACTGTACTTCCTGTGATGCATTACAGTACCAAACCTTTTAATTAGATAGATTTTACCTATAGACGATGTGATGGAATTAACCTAAGCACAAACATCATCACCACTTATCAGAGTAATCCTTTGATGGGAGTCAGTCAAGTCCCCACTTAACCAAGAGTTGCAAATGAATGACAGGGTAATTACTCTGTTTGATGCCAGGCAGTAAATCTGAATCCTGGTTTAACCCAAATGAATGAAATTGGGGAGAAGATCTTGCTACGCCCACGCAGGCATATATAGAATCTACTTAAAAATGTGTAAAAGACATTATTCTAGTAAATGCCAAAAAAAAAGAGTCTAGACAAGAAACTTTGATCCGCTTTGGACAGTAGGGGAGCATAATGTTTGGCCTAGTACTGATTAGGCGGCCGATTTCTTATGTATCTTTTGTCCTGACTGGTAAAAACCAAGGCGCCTAGGTTGATTGACATGTAAAACAAAACCAGATTAACATCAAAGCAAAAGTGATGAGGGAAAATTATGGGCAAGCGCAGGGAGAGAAAAAAGTTGATAAAAGCAATGACCGAAAATGGGATCATGCCCCCACCCCCGGGACCTATACGCTAGACATTTCAGCATAGACAAATATAAAAGCAATCCTAAGTTTGACTGACAAAAACAACTGTAAAAAAAAAAAAAAACCACCAAACCAAAGCCAACCCATACAGGCGTAGACACGATGATGGAGATTTTCATGGAAGGGAGATAAGAATTTTGACAAAAGAATTGAAGATTTGAGGCTTCTGGAGAAAAGTGGGCGTCTTTTGTTTAAAAGCTTTAGGTTCAACGTTTATTAGTGTTTTTTTTGAGAGACCAAAAAGTCTTTGGAGCAGTAAAAAGTTTCCCCCTCGATGGCCATCGGAAGCAAACATTTCGGTAGGGCTGGTGGGGGACATCCGCTTTTGCTTTTCTCCTCGTTGTTTTTTGTTTACTTGTTACTAGTTTTCTTTACCTTGGATCGCAATCGGCGTTTCTTTTGGTGTAAGCAACATTTCTTGTTCCCTTCTTTTGTTTGTTCAACGTGGGGGATTAATATAAATCATCAACCACAGTTTGATTCTTTGTGAAGAGAGATTAGGGTTACCTTCGACACGTGGGGAAAGATTTGATTGAGGGTAATTGCCCCTTTGTGTCTTTTCTTCTTTTCTACCATTTCTTTTTCTTGTGCTTGCAAATTGAGTTGATTGCATATCTCCATGATGGGATCTTTAGGTGCTCTCTCTTTAAGGACAAGTCATTAGCAGCAAAGTGTACAACAGAATAGGAGCTCGTAAACAACCTTTTGTTTCTACTGTATACTAATATCTTTATTTAATTTATAATTCCTAAAGTTTAACACTTTATTAATTAGATCTAGTCGGGACAGCCAGAGAATTAGGAAAATCTCTCCTTCTTACGTGTGAGAGATGTTGTCCGATCAAACCCGCCGTATAACTTGGTATTGTGATGATTGAGGAACGTGCGATGAAGCCCTTTTCCGAACAAAGACATGCAAAGAAGATGGCAAGAGAAGTATGCAATGAACTGATTTCAAAATTTCCTGTGTGAAGCACTAGGGACCCATCAATTCCTACATCCCAGACAATTTAACGTTTGATGTCTTTCTTGCATGTTGAGTTTCGCAACCCCCTCATGGTTTGGGTATGTTTGATTATGCACTGTTTTAAACATCTTATTAAAACATGACACACTGCATAGCAACAGTAGTATATAATATAGAAGCTGAGACTCATCATTACCAATACCCCCCCCTTAATTATGTTTACGCAGCACGATGATTCTATCCATTGAACATTGATTTGGGACAGGATTTGGAACCTTACCTTACGTGTTCTTCCCATGTAAAACGTTTCCAACTTCGATGCTTTTGTATCCTGTTTGAAATTGTTCATCACCTGTCTACATTCATTTCCTCTCAAGCGTTTACTCTGCTGTTACTTTCAACCAATACTCTGGAAATATATATTCCATGTTTTTGATCGTCAATATTGTATTGCCATTAGTAGCTTTATTCAGTGCAGAATCTTTCATTAGCTTTGTCAAAGATTCAAAATTCTTGCATTCGTTTTAACTGGTTATAGCTTTAAATAAGGCAGCAAGCTTGATGACCCTAAAACTTTTATCTAACATTCACGACTTGTTTCTGCTAGCTGTGGTTTCAATTCATGCTGAATCCCACAGGTAAAACAGTTTTAATTAGTAAATCCTTGTTGTGTTAATTGGCTGTGGAAATGACTTTGAATTTATTTCTTTTTTCCCTTTAAAGAGAGACATAACCATCAATTAAAGAACTAAAATTTAAATGCAGTTCACACACTTTTTTCAACCAACGGATGCCGCAAATAACTGCCATGAATTACTCGTGAATCCTTGAACAGAAGCAGCCCAAAACATAAACCCGCACATGAAGTCGAATAAAAAGTCCAAAAAATGTAAAAATCATGATTAATACGAGTTGGGTTCGTAGAGGACACGTGTACATGTCGGCTGCCCTGACAACATATCAGCCCAACCAGAGCCAGTAATATGAAAGAATTGCCTCCCTTGGTTCTCCCAACAAAAATTTAGTACTACTGGTAGATTTCCAATATAAAAAATATTTCCCCTACGCTTTCTGGTTATTTAAACCCAAGGTGGCGGCTCATTTGTCTTCACTCTTCCTCCGAAAATGGACAGGGCAACCAGTTCTTCTTCATCTTCTATCGAGAGCAGCAACCACTTTGCTTTCTCAAACACCGGCGCTTCTTCTTCCTCGCAGAGGGACCTCAGCACTGATCTCAGGCTTGGTCTTAGCATTTCAACCTCTCCTTCTTATGGAAGGTGTTCATTCTGTCACAATCCTTTTCTTCTGTTTTTTTATCTCTCAGTAGTTTTTGTTCTGGATTAATGGGTAAATTATTACATGTATATATCAGGGAGCAACAATCGGATTGGCCACCAATCAAGCCGCTGCTACGGCAGGCGCTTGTGGAAGATGAAAATGAGTGCAACAGTGCAACTTTCTTTGTTAAGGTTTACATGGAAGGGATTCCTATTGGCAGAAAACTAGACCTGTTGGCTCACGAGAGTTACTATGACCTGATAAAGACTCTTGAACAAATGTTCAACGCAAACATTATCTGTTAAGTTTTCGTCTTTGGTGTTTGATTTCCTTTTACCTTTCTCTTCTTCTGATCTTTGTGAACAAAAATATTGACAAATCGAGGGTGATGTTTTTGATATGCAGGGGCTGAGGCTGAGGTGGATGCAGATCATTATGAGAAATATCATGTGCTAACATATGAAGACAAGGAAGGGGATTGGATGATGGTTGGTGATGTTCCTTGGGAGTAAGTAAACCAGTTTCTCCACTAAAAACATTCCCATATTTTCCAAATTCAATTTATATACCAAACCTGAATCTGTTCTTCTAATGCTTTCTGTGTAGGATGTTCTTGTCAGCTGTGAGGAGATTGAAGATCACCAAGTGCTGAATTTTGATACAAAATCTTTCTGTCTTTTTCTCTTTTCTCTTGCTGCCTTTTGTGGAGTGGAAATCACTAGGTAGCTAGGCAGAAAATATAGGGTGGGATATGTTTAGGATTTCGAATGTACATTCGCATACTAAAATGATAGTAACAAGCATCAGTTTTGTCTTTGGGCTGTAAATCTTTTGCGCATGATTGTGATGCTTTCCCTTTTTTTTCTTTTGTTTCTAAAGCGCCCTCATAGATTCAATTTACATTGAATGGAAGGCTGTACATTTTCTTATAGTTTGGTGGCAAAAAGAAAAAAAAAGAGAAGTACATATTAAGCCAACCAAAAAGAACAAAAAAACAAAATACTAGCAATAAAATGTGATTGAATATTTATTCAATTAAACGGAGGTAGCTTGAAAATTCAAAAGAAGATTTTGCAAATTCTAAATGAACAAAACCAGAAGATAACAACGGCCTATTAAGTTTTTAATCACAGTAATGACATTTTGTCACTTGTTCCTAGCCCAAGATCGAACCGGCAGCCCATTTAGAAGGAATTGGCAGGTGAGGGCCAACACGATTGGAGTGCTGGCTGCAGATTTGGACCTATAGAGATTGCAGGTTTTAAATTTCAGATTAGATGAGCCCAACAAATCAATTAAGGTTTTGAAATACTGTCTCGCCGGCTCCTGCTATTTCCTGATGCTCTGATTTTATCGAGAGGACTGGCTGTGTTTTGGTTTGTGATCTCAATCCTTTCCAGACATGAAAATTAAACCCATTGTAACGTTATTTCTCCATAACAAAACTAAATATGTCTGCCTAGGCTGCTTCTTTAAAGCAACAATGCAGCATTTGTACAGCTTGATAAGCAAACTCAAATAGTTCTAGTAGATTGGAAATGAAAGAGATTTGTGTGGACTTTTGGAAAATGCATTGTTTTAATCTAGCTAACTTCCAAAGGGAGGGAGAAGGAGACAGAACCAAATTCCTTTCTCTTGACTTTCACAAGCCCCGTTCAGAAAGTGCCGTTGATTTTCCTTCTAAAGTGGAGACGGAAAGCAAAGTATTCTTTGGCAGAGTACCTCGAATGATTTCTAGTGTGATTTGGAAGCTCACGTGCTGCATGTGTCAACTTTATTCTTTTCTCTTTCCCACTTGTGTAGCAATTGAGATATCTAGAACCAGAGCAAGAGTTTTCCCAAATTATCCATTTTCAAGTGCTCTGGAACTTCAGGAAGGCATGCAATATTAACTCCCATGATCGGGGAGCATTCTGTAAAACACGTACAAAATGGATCGGCTTGATGCCCACAAAGGCTAAAGTGTCCCAGGCATGCATCTTGTAAAAGCACAAGATGGTTAATTCAATTGACCTTAATTAACAAGTCAAGCTAAAATTTGTATCACCTATGGTAAGTATGAAATCAGCATCGTGACAATAGCTTGCGAATGTCATCCCTGAACTCATCAATCCCATCATTCATGCTATCCAGCGATGTCCGCGAGACTCAAGATCAACCACTCGTTAATTTGATTCTGTCTGTTTGGAATTTGATTTTTAAAAAAAAAAGGCAGCAGCAAACAGAAAATCAGCATAGCGTTTTGGATACTATAAAAGTAAGTAGACGACTCCGTCTTCGTAAACAATCACTGGTTCAAGCATATATAGGCCGATCAACATGTGTACCTGCATGAAATTATGGCGATGCCTTTGCTGCAGAAATGCAAGCAAGAAAGAGAAGAAAACAGACTGCCTTGACGTGATCCTAGCAATCTTGCTGCCTCCAGCTGGGATATATAGAAAGGAAGGCTGCTCGGTAACTAGTCTCTCCTTTTATTCCCACATTTCTTTTAAACTTAATTAATTCATTAATCAATTACAAGATATTTAGGCTGGCACCTATACATTCATCTAGCTGTATTAAGTTGAGAAAAACGAGTAATCTGGCTGCCTCCATTTGCTTTTGAGTTGCAGGGCAATTTCTGGACTAACGTATTTCTGACGGTGACTGGGTACGTGCCGGGAAGCGTCCATGCTGTCATTGTCATATCTTCGAATTGAACTTTATAACCTTATACATCGAACTGTAAAAGATTACGTACTTGACGAAGGGTTTCCTCTCTTTTATTGTATGTCTTGCTGAACCTTTTCTCCACGTTTTGTATAAACGGCATGGAGTGTTGGCCGGACAACGGCGTTGCTCGTGCCAAGAAGCGTCTACCGGCGGGTGATATAGGTACAAACAAGGAAATCAAGTGAACAAGATAAACTTTAATTTTGACCATGAATATAATGTTTGGGTGAATGAATCCTGTGTTCTTGAATGCCTCAAACAAGAATAAAGGTCGCTTCTTGTTCTTGTTTTGAAAATTTTTGGCTTACTTTTCATTCACTTTCCCGATTATTACTTTAGTGCAAATTGATTAGTCGCTGTACCAATAATGAGAAGTACTTATGTTTAACAGAGGATCAAATTGGCACCTCTCGTTCAGTTAGGATGGATTCAAAAATTTTTTTAAGTGATGTCATTAGGATGATATTTAATTTTTTTTTATTTTGATATAAAATCTGTGAAGAGAGTATTTAGATCAAATTTAACATAATTTTATTTAAAAGAATATTATTGAGTATTATGGTTCATAGAATTTTGTCGTTGCCTCATGATTTGAATCTTGTGAGATAATTTTTTTTTAAATATCTTTTCATGATTTATTTATTTAAAATTATAAAATTTATTAACAATTATTAGAATTAAATAAAATTTGATCTTACATAACAAATTATTAGGTTCAATAATTAACCATATTAATTTTCTAGTCATTGATCAAAATTAAATATAAACATTCACAAACCATATAAAGTTAAAAATAAAAATCAAATAATCAAATAATATATTTATAAAATAAATAAAAAAAAGACTCACAATTTCAAGATAATATTTAACATGCAATACTATTTTCTATTATCTAAATTGTAATTATGAACCTAAATTGTTAAACTAATCAAAAAATATGTAGTTAAAAACTTAATTTGGATTGAAAATTTCTTACAATTAAAGCTTAGATGAATTATTTAGAGAGATTAAAAAACATAACCAAAGATCAGGAAGAGGAAGGACTTGAATTTTTAGATAGAAGAATAGTTTCAATTTTGACTTTTTTAATAAAATTTTAAATTATAAAAGAAATTGTTTTTGTCTTTGCTTATAGTATTTAAATATTAATACATAAATTATCTTTTTATAAATCATTTTTACTTAGAGTCTTTGATCTCACTTTCTATAAAATTAGCAAAAAAATAATAAATTCACTAGTTTATTAGTAAATTCCTAGATAAATGATATGAAAACTAAAACATTTAAAAAAGTGCGTGACAACACTCTCTCCAATTTGGGTTCGTCCATTCATGCAGATAAGGGTGGCCCATAAGTTCATCTCTAGGGCATAATAGCTGTCTAAATTCTCCTTAATCCTTATTATATTAGCTTATCCTTCCAATAGACAGAAACGAAAAGTGAAAGAACAAATTCCTTCTCTCACTATGTATAGTGTTCATGACTCCCTTTTTGCTTTTAATAGACTTTCAATCTACTGCATTGTATAGTAATGAAAAGATAATTGAAAATAGAATATTAATTACTTTTATAACTCACGTTAAGCTCATTCTTTGATGCTAATAATAATTTATAAGAGATGGCAATTAATTAAGAAGAACTGGTTAAGTACTTAATCTTTTCAAATTCCATCCCCTTGATTCCGTTCTTTAGTGTATGATCACCATGCATACGTCAACGTGCTGAGATCAACACCGCCCAAAAAGAAGCTCAGTGTTCTCTCAGCCCAATGGGTCAAGTATTTGTCCCCAAGGCCTAAACCTCAGATCTCCTATGATTTATAAGGCCATTTCGACCCAAATTGATCAGACTCCTTATGCAATTATGCAGTGACGAGAGAAATAAGCTGATGGATAGTGTAATTTATCATCCAATCTAAAGATTATATAGATATTTGCTTGTGTTCTGAATTAAATAAGGCAATTACCCTTTAATTATTTAGAAATTAAGACTTTCCCAGTGATTCTTATAGAAGCTGAAAGCATCATATATTCATATAATTTAGCAATAGCAGAAAACAGTCCAAGGCAAAAAGGGAAGCCTAGTTTCTGCGGATGAGAAACACGAGAACAAGTGGGGGAATGGATGCCTAAGTACATATTGGACTCCAGAGCAGACCTGTCTCAATTCAGACAGAATGGAGAGAACAGAATCTAATTCTCCAGCTACAAACCATTGAATTGACACTTGGATTGCTTCCTGTTTAATTGTCACTAGTATTATCACTGTTAAACCTGTTCTTTGGAAGGAAAACTTGATACAAAATGAGCTGGTGAGCACAACCTAATTAACATGACCAAGGGCCCTTATGTTTTCTTCTTGATTCCTTAGTTTACGTCTTGCAAATGTTTGGTCTCATTCGTCACTCCAGGTAGTAACGCAGCCTCTCTTTCCTGTATAATATCTCAATGCCCCCTCCGGACCAAAGAATTAGCCCTGCTGATCCGACCGTACTAACCTCCATTTTGTTTAACCATGTGAATATGTCTAGCATGAGACTTGGTGGGAGATGCGGGGTGCCTTGACTTAACGTTGGCATTGATCATGCCTCCTCTTGGAGTTTTCAGGAAAAGAGGAACTAAGGTTTGTCACCGTCCACTTCAAATCAACTTAATTTGATCTTCTGCTAACAGCCACTTGTTTCTTCTGTATATACATTTCTTTCCTTTCTTTCATCTGTGATCAATACCCTTCATTGTAACTGCTAGCAACTGCTACCTAAATTCAGACTGAACAAATGAAGGCAATGCCTTGAGGAATGGCAGGATTTAGTTTTAGTTAATGTACTCCCCTTGACAATAGTGCTTCTTTCAGTTTAAAATTCATTTTGCTGAAGTTTCCTCTAAAGGGTTAAGTATCTTTATGTCCAAGCTGGAGGCTAATATTTCCTGTTTAACGGCATCGTATATTTTTTATTAAGATGCATAGTCCACATAATCATCCTGTGTCTGTAAATAACTCTGAAGCTGCTGGGTTATGCAAATAATGAACCTAAGATAGAAAAGGAAGGTTATAAATTTATAATGGCAGTAGGGAAAAACTATTTGGTGAAGGTAAGTCCTTTATTTTCTGATATTGCAGAGTGAATTCCGGCTCAGTATTTGCCTGACCTTGGCATTGTTCGCGCCAGGAAGCATCTATGCTTTCACCATTGTTACATCCAAGGAAAACAAAGGAACAAAATAAATGGTGATTTGGGTATCTCGCATTCTTTCCCCCTGTTTGGCCATCTTTGATTTAATGGAATTTGTATTCTAACTGCTCTGAATTCATTTGCAGTCAATAGATTATGTGACTGAAGCAGTAACGTAGAACCCATTCGGCCCCAATTTGAATGGATTTATAGGCCTAAATTCAATCAGGATATAGCTACAGACAAAGGATTTACCAAATCAGTGTCACCTTGTGCTTTGACGTTTTCTTCTTGGAACAGTGTTATTGGCATGTTTAAGCATTAAGATGATAGAAAGAGTACATTCTAAACATCAAATATCACCGGGAATCAGGGATAACATAAAACAAAACAGAAAATTCCATTGAGAAGCCTTCGGTCCAAAAGCATTATGATAGAAATTACAATTTCATCACAAGCATTGCCCTAGCCCCTATGTATTATTCTAATAACAAGCAAACAAAGCTAGGAAACCCTTTAAAACGACTTTTGATTTTCACAGTCTAGGTTAGGTCCGGTATCAACGTTAAACAACTGAGCATATCTCTGAAAGTATCCAATTCGATCATTAACACGTCCATCGTTGGGTATTCCACACTCAAGCCCACCGTTGATTATGTTGGTTACCAACCCATATCCAGCCGTCCGGTTAGCTGCCAAGTCGTCTTCCGTGGGGACATATTTACCAACCATGACATCGTGGCAAGAGGGTTTTGGCTTCTGCTCGGTCATCCAGAACCAAAGAGCAGTTTTGAATGCAATCAAGGAGTTGTTGGCTACTATTTCTGGGTTCCTTAGCCCATCAAAACCCAACGCCTGGCCAGCTGGTCCATAATTGAAATTCCTGTTTAACAATAACGACATAATCAGTTAAAATGCTTTGCCTTTGAAGTCACTGAAAAACGATTTAAGGAGTGCAACGTGTTAGGAAAAGTGTAATATTACCAGGACAGTTGAATGGGTCCTCTTCCTTTGTAGGATTTTCCAGGGTAGCAAGGCCATTTTTTGTTGGTAGAATCACAGTAGTTGCTTTGAGGACTCACTTCCTCTTTGAAGCACAAACCCCAAGCGTATGGTCCATCGGGTGCAGTAGCCCATCCGCCCGTCGTCTCGTGGGATATTTGAGCAAGAAAAGCTGCGATTTCACGCTTCCGCGTGACTAAATCCCCGGTGTTTCCGAATCTTGGAAAACATTTCGTGGCTTGAATAAAGGAGTTGTAAGTGTAGAAATTTCTAGCAGGGCATGCCTTATCATCCTTGTGTAGGAATATAGAAGCAAAGAGATCTTCACTAATCAAGTATGAAATGGCTGGGAGTCTTCGAGCTTCAACTCCATTTGATGCAAAGGAAAGGAGAATAGAGCAGAAGATTAATAAGAGGGAGATACGAGAAGAGGATTCCATAATTGTTTCTTGTGTGGGGAAATGATGAAGAGACTCCTATTATTTATACATTCACGTCCTCCTGATGTTCCAGTCGGCACGGCGGGTGTTTTTTTATGTACCAGAACGAAGTCAGCCATCCGAGTTTTTGACTTGTTATAATTTTTCTTATATTAGTTAATAATATTGGTTTCCTGACCAATTGGGATTGAGAAATATAGCTAATTAAACTTTAAGAAAAAAAGTCATTTTGACCGGTCAATTCATTAAGATGCTTGTAAGAGTTGACCAGGGCACTGTCATCGGTTGATACAACTAGCCTCAACTCATATATAGTGGCAATGTCGACACCACGCATATGACGTTCATAATTTGGAAGTAAATTATTATAATAAAGAATTTTGTTGGTTTATTATCAATTAAATGTTTATCATAAAATTTTAAAAGTACAAAATCAAATCCGTACTCTTCTATGAAGAAAACCATTATCAGGATTTAAATTTTATATATTTTTTACTTAAATTTCGAAACTTTTTGTTATATGAACATTTCAATTTTCAAGTTGCATTTGACATTAAGGGAGAGCTTGACATTTCTTCAGCATCAACTAGGAATTTATTTGCATCCGTATGAAAGGTGAATGTTCGAAGATGTACTTCTGCTAAATGGTAGTAGTAATTGGTAAGATGGGGTTGGGGACGTA